CTGCTGGTCTGCCTCGATCGTTGAAACAACTTATTGATGGGTGTAGTCGAGCAGTAAACGTTCTTGCAATATGGCGTTGTGTTGCCCCCATTTGACGCATTCCTATAGCCCTCTCGCGTTGTTGCATTGTATGTATGTATGTATGTATGTATGTATGTATGTATGTATGTATGTATGTATGTATGTATGTATGTATGTATGTATGTATGTATGTATGTATGTATGTATGTATGTATGTATGTATGTATGTATGTATGTATGTATGTATGTATTAGCTACAAAACCCTTTTCATTATCTTTCATAGTAAGTTCGACTTTGCCTTTATCACAAGCATTAGTGTATGAATCACGCCCGCCGTGATGTTGCTGGAATATTGCTAAAAGCGGCGTAAAACCAAACTCCTTCAGTCAGTCAGTATGAATCACTACCATAAGGAATACATAAAATGTAAGGTGTTCACGAATAATATGGTACACAAACAATATCCGCAGAAATATGCAAAATATCGCACAGCGATGAGCGCCTGTCATACGTTTGTCTGGTGCATACATTGTAGGTCCGTAAGCTGTGACAAAAACTGGCAGACAGGTTTACGAAATGCAATGCCTTAAAGAAAGGTTATCGAACAGACGGAAATGGATCATGACAACCATCACTGTTATTTATTGAAACAGTAACACTGATATAAGAGGTACATTTTGCTAGTTTCGGACAAAACAGTGAATATGTCATATTCGTCGAATATAAGATTGTATTTCATTTCAAATTCAAGTAGGAGAGCTTTAATTATTATCGGATATTTATATAGCGCACATATCAACGCAACTAGTACATGCTCAAGGCGCCATTTTTTTTCGTTCGATCATTGTATATCAATCTCAACGGCTCATAGTATTATCAATCTCAACTCCCTGGGGAATCATACAACTCTTGCTGCCACAAGGCGCACCGAGTTATTGTGGCTTTCCCATCCTTACGAGGTACCCATTTACAGCTGGGTGGACTGGGACACATTGTCAGTATTTTGTCCAAGTTTACTGCACGTTGCTGTACCCGCACCTAGGTGTTTGCACGTATTCATGTGGCCACCATCTGGTCATATACCAACGGATTCGTGGGTTCTTTGAAGCGCACAGGGTCGTGTACTGTACACTAGGGGTTGTGACAACACGGAAAGAGTCTGCACACAAAGTTGACTCCAATGTTTTTACACCTGGTCACAGGTGGGCTCGATCCCGACACCTCAAGCCCGCTGGATCAGTAGCCTGCGCCTTAGACAGCACGCCCACCATTTAATTACCTATGATATGAAATATTACCTCTATGAGTCGGCCTGCGAGTGCCATGTTGGACTTCACGGTGCGTTTTTAACTCACTGCAATGTGAAGAATAACAAGCCATAGATATGTTGATGTTACACTGTAACAAAGATTTTCTCTGATCACACCTTATCCATGTTGAATATTAGACTCCTTTTAAAGCGTTGGCTCGTCAGAAGACCCGGTTCGATTCCTCCCACAATTATCCCATGTTGAATAATTAGACGGCGTAAAACCAAGCGCTGTAGGACGTTGCCCGAACTATCAACCACTGGTTGTGCTGAATGTTGTATAAAATGACATGGAAACAAACTGGATCTCATCCAGATTGTTACTAAGTAATTTTCTTCCGAATAAAACCATAACGCAATCACGTGTATCATTATTCACAAAGGGAGATAAGCGACGAGTTTTCCCGCTGCTGGTAATCTACACGGTATGCCCTGTATCCGTTCCCCGTACCATCCTATTCGTGTCACGAGCATCGCCAGCCATCCACTGACCCGAGAAACAATGACATTTTACTGTTACCATGAATCATCCCATCTCGCTAAGTAAATAGCCAAGAGCCTAGGCCACCACTCAGCTGCGATAGTCAGACTTAACGGAGTGCAGCAGTAGTTGTCACTAATGATATATTATAATAAGTGAGTGAGTTGAGTTTTACGCCACTTTTAGCAATATTCCAGCAATGTCACGGCGGGATATATTGTCGGTGAAATAATATTCAGTATAGCATTCATTCGTAGGTCACTAACAATTAAATGCACAGACGAACACAAAGTGATATCATTTACTATTTCTTTATCTCATAATTGACATATTCGTTTCGATTTTTCAACTGAAAAGGTTTCTTCCTTCATTTACAAATAGATATAATAACCCAAACCGATATTCAATAAATTTAAATGCATTCTTAAATTTTCCGTCGTGAGTATTGATGCATGTCTCGGTTGGTGTAAGATCTTAAAAGTATCCTAAAAACATATCGTGAACTTTCATCTAAATTGGAATGACATTCCTGGTGGAACTTATTTACAGACCGATTTCAAAAATCTTCAAGAAACATGTCTACACTTTCAACTTACTGGCATAACCACATAGAACCGTTATCACTTGTTTGATAACGGTATTATCTTCACCGTTAAACTGGTGGTTTAAACATTTGTATATCAAAAGAGTTGAAATTATCTTTAATGTTTATTTAATGTCTACAAAAATCTAAGTGTACATATATATGTAATGCTAACAGAGAACAACACACACGGGTGTGACTTACACCTCTGGATCCAAGTACCAACAGCTAAGATTTGTAAAAAATGTGACTGTACTTTATAGACAACTAAGTGGATCATGTTGTATCCGTCTTTTATGAATGATAAAGAAACAAAGGAAGTAGACACAAGATCATTTTCCGATTACAGATCGAGTTGTCAGATGTAAGGAAATAACGGTTTAACACTTCTCTATCGTTCCTGATTTCCTTCCTGTCCACTGCAAGTTACATTGCCCTCATCGTCAGCCATTGGCGGCATTCAATCGTCGGTGTTTCGACTCGCGCCCGTTGGCGGTTGGCATTGAGATTATCAGATAATATGTGTTATGGTCCATTTTGTAGACTGACGCAGATGTAATAAGCTGTTCAACAAAAAAAAACCCAAAGAACCAAACTAAAAACACCCCCTGCCCCAACCTCCCACCAAAAACAAACAAAACAAAACAATAACAACAACAAACACAACAAACCCGTAAATGCAGCCCGTCAGGACGCATATCAGAAGTAAGTTGTTTGTTGTTTAACGCTGCACTCAGCATTGTTCCAGCTATATGGCGGCGGTCTGTAAATATTCAAGCCTGGACCAGGCAATCTAGTGATCAACAACATGCGCATCAATCTATGCAAGTGGGATACGATCACATTTGTCAAACAAGTCAGCAATATCCAGAGCAATACAATCAACGAAAGATATGCTGTCCAGACCAATACAATTAACTAAGAATATACTATCCATACCAGTACAATTAACCAAGAATATACTATCCATACCAATACAATTAACTAAGAATATACTATCCATACCAGTACAATTAACCAAGACCAGTACAATTAACCAAGACTATACAATCCATACCAATACAATTAACCAAGAATATACTATCCAGACTAATACAATTAACGAAGAATATAGTATCCACACCAATACAATTAACGAAGAATATAGTATCCAGAACAATACAATTAACGAAGAATATAGTATCCACACCAATACAATTAACGAAGAATATACTATCCAGAATTAACGAAAGAATAATACAATTAACGAAGAATATACAATTAACGAAGAATATAGCATCCACACCAATACAATTAACGAAGAATATAGTATCCAGACAATACAATACAATTAACGAAGAATATAGTATCCACATCAATACAATTAACGAAGAATATAGTATCCACACCAATACAATTAACGAAGAATATAGTATCCACACCAATACAATTAACGAAGAATATAGTATCCAGACCAATACAATTAACGAAGAATATATTATCCACAACAATACAATTAACGAAGAATATAGTATCCACATCAATACAATTAACGAAGAATATAGTATCCAGAACAATACAATTAACGAAGAAAACAATATCCAGAACAATACAATAAACGAAGAATATAGTATCCAGAACAATACAATTAACGAAGAATATAGCATCCACACCAATACAATTAACGAAGAATATAGTATCCACACCAATACAATTAACGAAGAATATAGTATCCAGAACAATACAATTAACGAAGAAAACAATATCCAGACCAATACAATTAACGAAGAATACAGTATCCAGAACAATACAATTAACGAAGAATATAGTATCCAGAACAATACAATTAACGAAGAATATAGTATCCACACCAATACAATTAACGAAGAATATAGTATCCAGACCAATACAATTAACGAAGAATATAATATCCAGAACAATACAATTAACGAAGAATATAGTATCCTGACCAATACAATTAACAAAGAATACAGTATCCAGAACAATACAATTAACGAAGAATATAGTATCCAGAACAATACAATTAACGAAGAATATACCATCCACACCAATACAATTAACGAAGAATATACCATCCAGGCTATGATGACACGATGAATACACTATCCTACATATGTCGTCAAATATACGGCTGAGCAGGCTGGTTAGATCACGGAAGTACTCCTCAGAACAAGGATACAACGCCCGTCTCCTCATCTTGTCAGATCTCCAATATTTCATCTGCGTAGTTGAAACTAAACGACAATAAAGATAGAATGGCAAATAGAGTTACAAATATACATGACTACGGTGTATATCTAAAATCGTTTGTGTATTAGAAGAAAAGGAACCCGTAACCATTTTACACTCTCATGCGGTGATCACACACACAATTACAACCAACCCTCGGAGTGTAACATGCGTAACAATGGGTGTTGATAATATATTATTTAAATTCTGTCTATAAATGTCACTACATACCTGCAACCGGTTGTGTTGTTGAGACAAAATGTAACTCAAACAGGTAAAATTTGATGAAAACAGTTAATCAGGTTTGTTTGCATGCTCGTGTGTTTAAACAAGGGAGCAGGTTGGAGCGTAGACTTGACACGAGTTACAGTTTCATATGTACGAAGGTCGTGACAAGCGTTATAGCGCGGTATTTGGCCTAAGGCAACATGTAATAACGAGGATGTGCAGATAGTTAGAAGAAACCAGTGGCGGCTGTGAAATTCAGTGTTCCTCTACCAGGAAGAAGATTACAATGCTTACGTACAGGAATATCAAAGAGCTGTCCACGGCGCATTTAAACTATGGTGTGAGTGGATGTAGTTTCAGAAAAGGACATTTATCGATAGGAGAGATAGAAGAACCCACTGTAGTGAGAAGATATCTACATAAGGAATCGGGGACAGTTTACGGTGTGGATATAGCGTGTGGTGTCCCTGTGCAAGATAGTCGGGGTGGACGTGGTGTGATGTAGACAACGTCACTGACAACATCGTTGGGACTAACACCGAGACAATGGCCGCTTGGCTTACCGTATGGATATTATTGTGTGAATTTATCGTGCTAGCTTTTGGTAAGTAATAATAAATTATATGTCATAATATCCAGAAATAGATTTATCACTTCGTCTTAGGTTCATTATTACCACCAGTAGACTCATGTGTGTCTACAAACATGGTAAAAATATCAATTAACCAGTTGTGGAAAGAGATTTGTAGTGTTGCCTTCTCTGTCACTCAAGAGGTCCAGACAATTCCCCACACAGACAAATCCCTACACAGACAATACCCCACAGGACAATTCCACACACAGACAATCCCCACTTTGACCATTCCCCACACATTAAAAAGTATGTAACATTCGTAACAAAGTTTCAATCCGCCACGGTTGTTCTTAATAAATTTCCATGTTGAAATCTATAATGTCACAGTTAACACTTTTGCTTATATACTATCAGCCTGTTTTGATTTGCTATTGGGATTTACATAAAACATCCTTCTCAGCGCTCCTCATTTCCCTTCACTTACATGTTACAATTGTTCAATAAACATTCAAAACATCATCATCCTAACAGAGGATATATACATTATCTCTCTCATCTCCGTTAAATTGAGTAGTGTGTTAAACTGTTAGATAAACATTTGAAATATCATCCCCTAAATAAATTACAAAAGAAGATAACATCATCCTTTGCTCCAGACGGTAAAAAAAACATAGACATAATTGCTAAGAATAGAGCTGACCTCGATATAAAGTAATTACAAAAACAACAGTGATTGTCTATATAGTAACTCTTTCTCTAGAACTCAACAACACAAATCATAAAAAACTAAGGTGTGGGGAATTGTCACTCAGGTGATGGGGAATTGTCTGGTGGGGAATTGTTATGTGGGGGAAATGTCTGTGTGGGGAATTGTCCTACACCCGTCACTCAATTGTCGACTGTGATAAGCGCTGCAATGTGGTGATCCACGTGTATAATTATGCTCATTGTGAGTCTATTTCTTAACGTATACATCATGTCCTTTGTCTAAAACAATTTGTCCAAATAGTTTCGGCAGGTTTAGGTTTGAGAAATATCTATGTAATGTCGACTTGTTTCATGAGACAACAGCTCAACTGTGCGACATGACAGACGATGTGGGAGAAACGATATAACATTGTGTTGACGTTTTGTGAGATGGACAGTGGGAATCGTTTTGTAGTGCCCTGCTGTTATGGTGTTTACGTCCATGCTGAGTGCTGTCATTGTACCGTCGGAAATACTTACTTCAGAACTTGTCTTTCTTTGATATGTTTTAATTCTGGTTCCGTTAGATTATGTATGTCTGTTTGTCAGCACCGGTACAGAAAGTGAGTAAGTGAGTGAGTGAGTTTAGTTGTACGCCGCACACAGCAATATTCCAGCTATATGGCGGCGGTCTGTAAATAATCGAGTCTGGACCAGACAATCCAGTGATCAACTGCATGAGCATCGATCTGCGCAATTGGGAACCGATGACATGTGTCCACCAAGTCAGTGAGCTTGACCACCCGATCCCGTTAGTCGCCTTCTTACGACAAGAATGAAGATCAATTCTAACCCGGATCTTCACGGGTCACAGAAAGTGATAAACGTACGTATGAGGTCTACATAAACTTTCCTCTACCATGACACGCCGTTATGTAACTATAATGAAGGGAGCTTTAGACAAACTCACTCAAACTTACTCTTATTAAACGCAGATCGCCTTGCACTGATGCCGTGCGCTGCAGGGAACCATTGTCGTTTTATCATAATGTCATGCTGTCAATGTGTCGTCATGTAGTAGTGAGTGAGTTTGATTTAACTGTTCACAGGCTTCGAGCCCGCGAACATACACTAAACGCCAAAAGAAACGTTACCCTCCTTCCTTAATGGCGGAGGTACCTTTCTTCAGCTGGCGTTGTGATGCGTTGACGTTTGACGTCCACTCTGCACTGCTTGGTCCATCTACGGTGACCCCAGTCTCTCGCTGAATAAGTCTTATAACCGTGATAAGTGGCACCAGAGGGCGTTGGCAACAGCATTGTTTGTCGACCTCATCACAATGGCTCTTTCTCTCTTTTCAGCTGTTAATCGTGCCATATTTCGCGTACTTGTGCATCATATGATGCCTTTTAGACTCTTTTCATACCCTATAGAATCATTCTACACGTGAAATGGATGCAAATACTGCTTGGATATTGTTACGTTTTGGCGATTGATATTGCTATGTGTAAACAGAAATGGAAAATTGTTACTTTGCAGGCAAAGATGTTAACAACGATAATTTTAGATGTTCCTAAACACTTTTGCACAATATCAAATACACGTTTGACTTGTTTTCACTAATGCAAATCAACAGAAAATGTTTTAAAAGACTGAAATCATAGGACTGATTCTTTTACAATTCTACACACTCTACAACAGTTGTTTCTTGTTTTAATAGTTGGAAACTGGTGACTTTCAATGGTTTATCTTTGTCTCAAAGCAGAATTATATTTCAACCTTTCTTTTGGACATCTAAATCACCGTTTTTGGTTCATTTCGGCATGGACGAAAATAGGACAAATTAACTCTTCCGAAAAAGATGCATTTCACGTAAATATGAATGCATTTGAGGAATTATTTTTGTGATTTTTGTGCATAAGGCTGTGTTGTTGAGCTTTCTTGTAAACTAATGCCTTCTTACATATCTTTGACAGCTTTTCAATAATTCATAAAGGAAAGAGGGTAATGTTTCTTTTGGCGTTTAGTGTAGTTCTCTGTCATACCTAAGGGAATTAAACCTGTACAGTGAATATGAAACGATTGATGTAGAAGTGTCGTATTGTTTTGCAGCATGATGTAGAAGTGTCGTATTTTGTTGTAGTGTGAGCATGATGTGTTGTTGTGTGATGTTGTGTTGTGTTGTAGCATGATGTAGAAGTGTCGTGTGTGTTGTGTTGTGTCGTGATGTAAGAAGTGTCGTGTTGTGTTGTAGCATGATGTAGTTGTGTCGTGTTGTGTTGTAGCATGATGTAGAAGTGTCGTGTTGTGTTGTAGCATGATGTGAAGTGTGTGTTGTGTTGTTTGAAGCATGATGTACGTGTTGTGTTGTAGTGTAGAAGTGTCGTGTTGTGTTGTAGCATGATGTAGAAGTGTCGTGTTGTGTTGTAGCATGATGTAGTTGTTGTCGTGTTGTGTTGTTGTGTTGTAACATGATGTTGAAGTGTCGGTGTGTGTTGTAGCATGATGTAGAAGTGTCGTGTTGTGTTGTAGTATGATGCGGTTGTGACGTGTTGTGTTGTAGGAATGTTGTTGTCGTGTTGTGTTGCAGCATGATGTAGAAGTGACGTGTTGTGTTGTGTTGTAGCATGATGCGGTTGTGACGTGTTGTGTTGTAGGATGATGTAGAAGTGTGTTTGTGTTGTAGCATGATGTGGTGTGTTGTGTTGTAGCATGATGTGGTTGTGTCGTGTTGTGAGTAGTAGTATGATGTAGAAGTGTCGTGTTGTGTTGTAGCATGATGTATGATGGTTGTGTTGTTGTTTGTAGCATGATGATGTGGTTGTGTCGTGTTGTGTTGTAGGATGATGTAAATGATGTCGAAGTGTCGTGTTGTGTTGTAGCATGATGTGGTTGTGTCGTCCCGTGACCTATCGTGTTGTCGTGTTTTTGTATTGTAAAGTTGTATAAAAAATCATTTTATGATTGTGTTGATGTTGTCTTGTAGTATAATGTCGTACTGCCGTACAGCAGTCGTAGTGTCAGGTTGCATTATTTTCTGATCCTGTTGTGATATCGTGATGGAGACCCGTGAAGATCCGGGTTAGTCTTGATCTTCAGTAACCCATGTTTGTCTTAAGAGGTGACTAACAGGATCGGGTGGTCAGGCTCGCTGACTTGGTTGACACATGTCATCGGTTCCCAATTGCGCAGATCGATGCTCATGATGTTGTTCACCAGACTGTGTGGCGCAGACTCGATTATTTAGATACGACCACAATATAGCTGGAATATTGCTGAGTGCGGCGTTAAACAACAATCAATCCATGAATGTCGTGTTGGAGCAGGATTGTGTTGTACCACAGATTAGTGTAATTTCATTGTAGTGTCTCTCTGCGTTTGTGTCCTGATGTCGAATTGACGTGATGTCGTTGCTTCCCATTGTCACATTGTCTTATTATCAGGGGAAGTACTATCTTTTTTACATATTGCCGTGGTGTAGTGTTGTAGTGCGATATCGTTGTGTCGCGGTGTAAATTCGTCGTAGTGGTGCGCTGCGATTATGCAGTGATCCTGTGAATCTGGGTCTGGACGATGTAGCGTCATGGAGCGATACTGTGATGTTAGGTCCTTGTGTCATGTTGTCCCGTAGTGTTAGGGTCGTTCCGTCGCATGATGTCGATGTATTGCGTGTCGGGCGTCAGGGTGGTGTAATCGGATGCTGCACAATGCTGATGTGTAATGCCGTGCTGCCGTTATGCCATTGCCATATTGCCTGGCTGCCGCTATACCATCATGTCGTAATGCCGTGCTGTCATTATTGCATTGTCTTAATGCCGTACTGCCGTCATGCCATTGTCGTAATGCAGTGCTGCCGTTGTCGTAATGCCGTATTGCCATTATGTCGTAATGCCATTGTCTTAATGCCGTACTGCCGTTATGCCATTGTCGCAATGCAGTGCTGCCGTTGTCGAAATGCCGCATTGCCGTTATGCCATTATGTCGTAATACCGTGTTGCCGTTTTGCCATTATGTTGTAATACCGTGTTGCCGTTATGCCATTATGTCGTAATGCTGTGCTGTCATTATGCCATTATGTCTGAATGCCGTACTGCCGTTATGCCATTGCCATAATGCCGTTATGTCTTATTGGCATGCTGTCTTTATTCGGTGATGTCGTATTTGGCGTTCTGCGGTTGCACTAAGTCGGAAGGTGACTGGGTGTGGATTGGGTCTGTTTAACGTTGTTTCGTGATGTCGCACACTCCTGGTGTCATGTTGGTCTATGTTGTCGTGTTGAAGCATGATGTTATGTAGTTGTGCGATTTTGTCTTAGTGTTGTGCTGCCGTTGTGTCGTGTCGTGTCGAGTCGTGTTGGTAAATATCTTCGTCATCATCCTGAAGACCCAGTTCGATTCCTCACATGGGTACAATGTGCAAAGCACAATTCTGGTTTCCCGTGACATTGCTGGAATATTGCTAGAAGTGACGTAACAGTGTGACATGGTGTTGTTCTATTCTTACTGTCTTCAATCATTCCTTAGGCATCACGTGAATTTTATGAGCAGGACCAATATCACAGCATTACAACATTACAATCATTCTGAAGTTATCTTCTTAATGATGTATTGCAGTCTGTTGACATTCACTGATATTTTCTGATGAAATGTTATACATTACTTCACCAGTTCACCAGCTGACACGTCGACCGACTTCAAATAAAAGTAAAAAAACATCTAAACCGGAGAATTATCAGTCTCGTATTTACATTATGATATGCACTTATACTGTTGTATTATATGATACAAACAGTATGAGGCGGTGTGGTAAAGCCTTGCTCTTAAAGCCAAAGACTCGGGTCCCAGATTTCTTACATGGTACAATGTGTGAAGCCCATTTCTGGTGTCCCCCGCCGTGATATTGCTGGAATATTGCTAAAAGCGGCGTAAAACCAAACTCGATCACTCACTCACTCACCTATCTACTGAACTCGTCATATATTGTGCCACATCAAATACATATCTTCTCGAAGGAGTGATGAAGCTGTCAGCGTTATTCAACCAATATGAGATGGCGACGACGAGATACATGCTGATGATTTTGTAAATGACATAAGAATCACAGCAACCAAACCCAAACTCTGTTCTGCTTATTGTACATTATACAGTTTGATTGTAAACGATCCAAGTCACGTTGGGTTCACATCTGCTGAAGGAGGAAAATATAAACTAACTTGGCTGTGAAATACAGTGTAACTTCTGGGATATATCTTGCATGAAATTGTCATATATACATATATAATAATGACCTGAACAAGCAAGTAACGATAACTGCTCAACTTGTTACACAATATAAACATTCAGCACATCTCTTTTGCTGAGGATTTGCTTTGACAGTAGATGTTGATTACGGTTGATTGTTATACATAACTGGAATAACACCCAAATGGAAATAAAAATAGAGGGACGACACAAATGAAAAACACTTTTCTGGGACCTGCATCACATTGACCTTCTGTCCGGCATTAGGCTGACATGCAGCGATATTACTGAAATACTGCCAGAAGAACATTTTGGGGAGTAAAATGGCCACGTCATATTTTGTCGAGGGTCACTTCAAATCTGTGTTATCATCCCGTCTAACTTTTAACTTAACTGTTACACATATACGAACTCGCTTGTCTACAGCATGTCAGGATCTCCTGGAGGAAAGGCATAGACACGTGTCTTATAATGGTTCAGAGTTACATCATTTTGCCATGATACTTGTGTGGGTTGTTGGTGTAATCAGATGTCCCTTCAGCACCGCTGACAGTGTATTTCAAAACTGTGCACTGATTAACATGTTTAGGTAATGTGATCATCGAGTTTCGTAATATTCCGTTTTCAAGCATTATACAATATATCATCCATGTTGATATCCTGGTTGCCAAGAGGAATTACGTGTTATTTGTTGTTTGTTTGTAAAATATATTATTGAAAGTTCACTCAGAAAAGATAACCCACACAGGAGGAGGTTCCTGTTACATTATTATTGAAAGCTCCTAAATTCCTGTTACAGGAAGCTCTATAATGCATGTGTATAATCATTTGTTCATCGTAACATTGAATGCTGGCCTATGAATAGGTTTTTAGGCACATCTCTGCACAAAATACATACCTCCAAACAAATGTATTAATCATTTCGTTAATCATAAAATATCTTCACGTTAAATGCGGAGTCCATTCTGCGATTCCGAAGACAACATAAGCATGAATCATTAAACAAATAATAATAATACCAGGGTGACTACATGTGTACACAGTGTGATATATAGGGATAGATAGCTACACGTATCAGAACACACCAACAACACCAGCGGACCGGCGACACGGTTGCAGTGGAAGTACGTTTTCCTCAACGCGTTGTTTCGTCACAGATCCTTGTGCCGTAATTAAACAAATTGTGATCCATAAAATCTGTCTTTATTGTACTGCCTAACTTCTAAAATGCCTCTCAAAGACCTTCATGTTGTTTTTATCAGTGAAACATCTACAATTTCTGAACCAATCTTCACTACTTACAAAATAGCAACGACATGAAAATGCTTCAGTGAGTCACTATGGTTTTACGCCGCTTTTAGCAACATTCCAGCAATATCACGGAGGGGACACCGAAAATGGGCCCAATATTATACACGAGAAGACAATAAGGAAAGATACAACTTTATAGATATATGGCGGACAAAAATATTTTCAGGGCACGTGACCTTTTTATTGTTCTAATATTGATCAGTTTTCACATTTTTAATGACAAGCTGGACGGAGTTCAAATATTCCTATTGCCAATCAGAGCACAATGGCTAGCCGGGTCTCATGTTTTCAACAAACTCATGTTGTTTGAATGTTTTATCCACGACATAATGAGCAATTATCAAAGGCAATCATGTTGAGGGTGCCATTGGAAATTTAATAATTACAAACAACTCGCAAGCATCACTAGATATATACATGCACATGGATACAGCAAGGGGCGCTTATGAAATCCGTCAAAATCAAAATTTGCAATACATGTTTCAAAGTTTCTTTTCTACATTTATGTCCAAGTGGAAATCTTGCCTGCTCTACAGTTTCGCCACTGTCAACCATTTCGTTCAAGAAATAGTCACTTCGCCATTTTAAGTTACAAACGTTTGCAACTTCGAAGACTAGTATGTGTTTTGTATTGGCCAGTAAAGGGCAAAATTAAAATGGGATCAGATTTGGGCAAATTGTAAGTGGATGATATGAAAGGTCATTGATGTAGGGTTATGTGGGAGGAGAAGTTGGCAGTGTCTTCTTGGGTCTTCGAAACTTAGTCACAAAGTTGACAAAACGTACTGCACAACCATTTGAAGATTTATAAGGTGATTGAACATCCGACTCTCTTCAAGCAGAATAATGCTGGATGCAGAACGATTTTTGTGTCATTATAGTCAGTTTCTATTTTCAACAATAAGGTCAAAATGGTCGCTGTAGCGCCAAAATCGCTAAAAAGGTCAATCAGTTGACGATTTGAAATTGAAACGTTTTTCTCCTTTTACAAATACCCAATCACTCTTGATTTCTAAAGTTTGCTTTCGAAGTGTATCTATACGTCATCATATACAACATCCCAAATAAGTATTTATTTATCTGAAAAATATGTGTTGTTTACAGGACAGGCCAAATACTTTGGAACGTCGCAAAACTACGTGTGTCACTGCCAGGATGGATGGGGCAACTTCAATATGGTATTTATGTTACAGTAATCCTGAGTCAGTGGAGACTGTGGAAGAAGTGGCTGCCAACCTGGATGGATGGGGCCTAGCTGTCAATATGGTATTTATGTTAAAGAGTGAGTGAGTGATGAGTGAATGAGTGAGTGAGTGAGTGAGTGAGTGATCTTCAGGAATATTCCAGCAATATTACGACGGGGGACACCAGAATTGGGCTTCACACATTGTACCCATATGGGGAATCGAACCCGGGTCTTCGGCGTAACGAGCGAACGCTTAAACCACTAGGCTACCACACCGCCACTAATGTTAAGGTAGGCTTTCTATACGCAAAATAAGATGTGTACGAGTGCCAATGATTACAGAGAGCGTTTCTCGCTATCAGGTGTCAGATGCAGGACTCTTTGTCAACCCAAAAACAAATATCATCTGCAGTTTACGGAGGAAACAATAAGCGATTCATTGGAATTCGCAACAGATATAATTGATAATTGAGGACAGAATTAATGTAAATACTGTTTAATGCTGTATGTTTTCAGTGTAAATTCAGGATCAGTTATCAAAGATCAAATATCGGTTATCAAGGATCAATTATATACCAAATTTATAATATCAATATGTAGTCGAAGCACAGGGCAGGACGTTGGCATCACTCTGGGAAGTCTTGAATTGTGTCTCGGCGTTGCTGTTCTGTTTCTCTATGTATGTGTAGTGGAATTTGGAAAGGCAAAGTCAACTCACAGAAGCTGACAAACTATAACTTATGCTTCAGGTAAATGGATGATATGTATTGTCAAACGAACAGCACCATAGACATAGGGAGGGGCAAATTATATACTGATGTTCAGGAATCGGGAGATATCAGTTTAGCTTGAACAAAATAAGTTTTCTGATTAGTTGTATTGCAATACAATTTGTTGATGTTATTTTACTTTCTGTTGGCAGTTAATCACGCGGCTGAGGGGACAGCCTCTCTGTCCTCAGGAACTCCTTCAAAAGTCAATGATGGTAGAGATGATATTTGTACGTACACAAATTATGAAAGAGAACATACAGTCGGTGTTTCTTTTACTGACAAACGATGGATTACAGAAATGCAGATAACTACACAAAGGACTCAATATGCCGGTAAGGTGAAAACTTCTTCTCTGTAACAGGAAGCTGCTTGATTTGGAAATTTCAAAGACGTTCCGATTGGCGGTCCTTAGTCTTTGAAAGACTCCATTGATTACTGTATTGATTCTACGATTATCCAAATTGTAGAATACCGTCGACCGGCATCAAGCATTTACCAGATTGACAAACAATAAATTGCCAATTAGGGCTTTCCTCATTCAAAGGAATGACCTTTACACTTTACATACTTTAAGTCACCTACTGAAAAAAAAAAACATCTGCAAATTTTTACCAGCAAATGTTTTAACAAAAACGAGATCCATGAATTGAACGTCTTTGGTGAAACTGATGTGCAATGCCCTGTTTAAACTTGTCCGATATGGGCCCTCTGCTGTTCCGGCGAACACGTCACTGCATGTGTTTTCGACGAATGCCACTGGACAGGAAGGGTCGTAATACGCTCACATTTTACGAACACCTGGACAATTTAAGGACTCATAAACACGTGGTCACGATAAAGTATTTGGAAACCTCTACTAGTTATATATAACATGAACAAAATATATGTCCACGGCTTAGTTCTTCTAATTTATATGCCTACACATTTCCTGTGCCATTATTTTTCGACATGCCCACTCATTCTAGAGACGTGTTGATTCCTGGTGTTCGCGACAACATATCCCACCCGGCATGATGTCAGGAGGATTTACTTTTTTGTGCCATATATCGATATGGTTTTATCTTTTTCTGCAATTACGTTTGCATTATTCCCAATTTTCAGGAACAATTGAAAATGTGGTGGTTGAGGGAGAAGTTGGTGGACATCAGACAGTTTGTAGTTCGCCTTACTCCAGTAATGACGGCTTGGTGTTCAACATTGTGTGCGACAGACCGATCCTGGCTACTACCATCACAGCCACGCTTACACTCACTACATCCTCTTATGTATATGTATGTGAAGTGCGCCTTAATGGAGGTAAGTGTTTTGCTCAGTTTAAATATTTATTATGTGGTGTCATAGAGTTTCACATATTTATCATTGCGTGTGTCTAGGACGTGTCCCAGAGGTGGGGCAAGATACGCTCATCTTTTCGCAAACTCAATATAATCTCAATTTGACAGAGCTATAGTGATCGAGATCGTATACGTACAGTCGAGTCTCCCATAGGTTGCTTGCTTTATCGCTTTACCATTATAGGTAAATACATGTGTTGCTTCAACAGAAGTGCGTAGATTAGTCACCATGGGTTGTTATCCAAGACTGAAGTCTAAGTTTTCCAAGAATATACCGTATTACTTGGAGTCTCAAAAACACTGCCAGCATCAGCGATTTATGGAGATTACAAGATGTGTATGATTCTGTATCATTCATGTTACATCTCAGATTAAAAAGAAATTTTGGGAGCTTCTGACGAACATAATGAATAGTTATTATTTCTGAAATATGATATTATCAAAAATATTACTTTTTAAGGAATGAAGGAAGGTAATAATCTTGTTATCATATCATGTTTTTCTTGTTTAAGACGTAAAGTCGCTCGAGAAATAACTTTTGAATCTGCATACAAATCTAGAGTCTGAGTGAACAGTCCCATTTGTCATATAGGGCCAAATATTTTGCGAACATTGATGTTTAAAACATGACTGATGCATCGAAAACCCAAATCTGTACATACTGCGAAATGTAGTCAGTATTGAATTGAACCACTAGGTATTGCATCGATTGATAGAGCTTTAAAATAGTTCCTTTTGATGACCCTCATTTGCATACATATCGAAACTACATATTCACATAAAACAGATTTGCATTGCACTTTTGTCACACTGTCAGTTTTATGATAAGATTAACTGTTCCAATCGGCGTTTCAACCGTAGTTGTAAAATGTACGTAAAGTAACACGAAACGGCGTTCCAACCGTAGTTGTAAAATAATATCCATTCGTATGATGTGATTTCTGGTATGTTTTATGTGGAATGCCATTTCGCTGTCTATCCTCACTAATGAAACGGCTTTCTGCATCATATTTAGTCAGTTAAAACGTCCCAAACCGAAACCTAAAATGCGAAAACATCTCTATCGTTCGAACAATCCAACTGACTTCGCCAAAGTTAAATTCACTGGCTTATCAACTTACTGCCCAGCCAGTTATGTTAATTATGTTGTTTTCTTTGTCACATTCAGGTTTTGTACACCCAATCTATTTCATGTTGCATTCCTGTTTGGCAACGGTACAAAAATCTTTATCAAAATGTCGCACTCACGAAATAAAAAGTTGTTATTCTGAACGTTTGTCAATATTGAGCATAAACGAAATTTAGGATAGCTTATCGAAATAGCATTGGAGTTGACAAATTGTTTCAAAATGGTAATAATTTTTAGACAGAACTGGTTGGAAAAAATGATTACTCTTCTACTTTTTAACCCAGTCTGATCTATATCATACTTCAAATGTGAAGGTAACCACTAGCAAGTAGAACATGACGATCACATGCTCGCGGAAATAGGACAAAGAGGAAACACATCCTTATGATTTGAAACAAATAGATCTGTAGGACATGACAAAACAACATGCTCGCGGAAATGCTCGTCAGGACAAAGAAGGAAACATATCCTTATGATTTGAAACAAATAGATGCTCGCGGAAATGTAGAACATGACAAAAAACAAATATGCTCGCGGAAATGCTCGTCAATGACAAAGAAGGAAACACATCCTTATGATTTGAAACAAATAGATTTGTAGAACATGACAAAAACAACATGCTCGCGGAAATGCTCGTCAGGACAAAGAAGGAAACATATCCTTATGATTTGAAACAAATAGATCTGTAGAACATGACAAAAACAACATGCTCGCGGAAATGCTCGTCAGGACAAAGAAGGAAACACATCCTTATGATTTGAAACAAATAGATCTGTAGAACATGACAAAAACAACATGCTCGCGGAAATGCTCGTCAGGACAAAGAAGGAAACACATCCTTATGATTTGAAACAAATAGATCTGTAGAACATGACAAAAACAACATGCTCGCGGAAATGCTCGTCGGGAGAAAGAAGGAAACATAAAATATCCTTATGATTTGAACCAAAGAGATTTGTAGAACATGACAAAAACAACATGCTTGCGGAAATGCTTGTCAGGACAAAGCAGGAAACATATCATAATGATTTGAACCAAATAGATTTGTAGAACATGACAAAAACAGCATGCTCGCGGAAATGTCAAAATGTATAAAGTTGCGACATGCGTTATACCCATATTTAACAACAAATCTATACAAGTACATTATATCTTGCACACTGATGACGGCTGAGATACAGCTATGAGTGGAGTTTTTATTTTAGCTGTTATGTTGATTTCAACCTCATGAAAACATTGTGTCAGATATGGTTGAAAATGTGGGCATACAATTGTTTCTGAGTGGGTACAAATTTATGAGTGAAATATGCACACCATACACCCTAACATTAGCTTTAGACTTGTTGAGCTAAAAGTCACTGTGTCTTTTAGTCAGTTGAGGTAAAAGGTCATTGTGTCTTTTAGCCAGTTGAGGTAAAAGGTCATTATGTCTTTCAGTCAGTTGAGCTAAGAGGTCATTGTGTCTTTTAATCAGTTGAGCTAAGGGTCTTTTACTCGTAAATGAAGAAACTGCTGATCTTATGTTTATACACTATGACGCGCTACACAATGTGTTCGAATGAGGGGTCAAAGGTTAATGCACATATTTCTTTACTCTTGATCATGCACTCCGCATTTGTTCGTTACGATACAAAATGTTTATAGCCAGTGTATCGCAATCAATGCGCCTAGCAATGAATCACTTCTATGTTTTAAATAGGTATCAACATTGCTGTGAAGAAACCAACGAATCAAACATCAAACTATAGCGAAAGTTGGAGGGCATATTCGTCGGACCTGGCAGTAGATGGGAATACACAGTCGACATTTGAGGGCAACTCGTGTGCTCACACTAGTGCAGAGTGTGATACCGATTATAGAGTCCACTGGACCCTTAATCTGGAAGCATCATACGTACCTCTGATGATAAGGATATATAATAGAACACCTAAATCTAGTAAGTACATGAACAGTCCAGGTAAACATTCTTAAAATATATAGTGCATGATCTAAGATGAGTTATTTACCGGCCGCCTTTGATCTGATTCATGTAAGGTAACTATACCACGGCCGTTGCCTCAATGTGTAGTAACCTGAATTATCAAAGTCATGGATTTGCACCACTTTGGTGAAACTCATGAAGGCAGTATTGGAAGGCAAAGAATTAGCAGGTGGCATCTGTGATGAGAACCAGCACAGTCAAACTGAAATCATTAAATAGTTATATTCTGTGCGTTCATCGATAGAGGCATTGTCTGTCACGTGGGTGACTGTTGTATTTGGCAATACCCACTTTGTTGTGAAGCACTCATGTTGTAGTAAATTTTGGAATCTTACAACCTCGCAAGGTCAATGTGTTGCTTTAACTCCATTGACCTTGTGAGGGTATCTCTCTGTATACGGTAACTACAGTTATAATGAGTTCTAAGAGAACTAAGTTTAGTTCGTTACAACCCTAGCTCGTTATACGCCTTTCGACTACAATGTGCGGTGGAAGAAAAAGACAACAGTTCGATATATAAGTCATTTCGTTATATCCGTGTTCGTAATAATCGTAGTTTTGTAAATATTCTTCAGGCAGATTCCACGTATTACAGCAACACCTGGTGTTCATCCAAGTGAGGACAATACTTCCCTTATCGTGTTTGTTACACTGCATGATAGTGACTACATGACCCTAGATGGAGTCGTCCTAAAATTGAAAACTGTTTAAAGCAGCGCTAAAGTAATCCCACTCGCTTTTATCATTTCAGCCTTCACCCGCCTTCTATCTGGATTCAGCCTGCAAGTAGTATCTAGCGGCAGCACTATTTGGGAAAACATCTACACTGATACATCCGCGGATCCAGGGGAGATCATTCGTCTTGTCTCCAGCAGCTTCAACTTCATCCATCTTCTGAGGGTCACAACACCAAAGTGTCAAACCTTGGCCCTTTGTGAAGTTCAGATGTTTACAGGTGAAACCAATTGGCATGTTCACGACAATAACACTAACGTTGCCTGTCTAATATGAATGTGACGCGAGATGCAGTAAAATTAACCTGATATCTATATCTATCTTGTAAGAGGTACTTTATTCACTTTGTATATTCCATAATCAAGAATGGCGATATTTCGTTACCATCAAGTTCTGTATGAACAATATCCCGCACTGCCACTATAGAAGGTTAAAATAGCTTCATAATAGCTGATTATTCAAAATATGCACCTACACATACGCTTGTATGTTCAAGAAAGACGAAGGGATTCCATACAGAATCATAGCGACATTATTATTCATAAACAAGTCTTCCTTACCTTCCTTACAAGTGATTGAAATAACAACTCCTAGTAAAACGGCGTTATTTTAACGTGTTTTAAATCCTGTTGGCCAACTTACGTTGCAGGCCGAAGAATTGATCGTTTCTTTTAAAGACAGTTTCAGATAAATAAGGAAATATCCCTATTTTGTAGTAGATTTTCATGCTGAGCATTTCATTTAATATAAGCGAAATAGTAGTGGCATATGAAGTATCATATCTCTTCAGTTTGTCCTGACTTCCGGTACGGGTTTGACTGCTCCTTGTCATGTCGCTGTAAGGACCAGGCTGAGGTGTGTGAGAAGATGACCGGATCCTGCAGCTCAGGATGCCCTGCTGGGTTTACTGGGAGGGCCTGCACAGAGGGTAACAGAGTGACGTCACGCATGATGTCACATTTTTTATTGATTATGGTAGTGATTCATTGACACATCAATATGTGCTTGTGAGTCCCTCGCCGTGATATTGCTGGGATATTGATAAAGGCGACGTAAAACTAATCTCACACACTCACTCTTTCTTGTGATAAAGGCTCAGTTGTACTCTGAGATTACTAGGAACTGTTATAAAACGGGTTTTGTAGGTTTTATGTTTTATCTTAATGTGATCACATCGAGTAGATCGATGACCATGACGACAGTCACTCCATTGTCTTGACTCAATTAGTTACAGAACGCCGCCAATGGCAACAACAAACAAACAAACATTACTGTTGCAGAATGCCAGAGTGGTTTCTATGGGGACAACTGTCAACAGGAATGTATTCAATGCTTGGATAAGAAATGTGGTAAAGCTGATGGCCAATGTACAGAAGGCTGTGCTGCAGGATGGGTTCCATCGGGGCAGCCCTGGTGTACAGAAGGTATGGACATCTTCATGTGTTATATCAAAACAGATATGGACTTGAAGTTTCAGCTTGTAAAACCCCATTAACGCGCTAGTCACACATGTGTATCATTTTGAGTTACGTTCCAAAGACTTAGTGCGGCGACAGTTTTATATCTGATGAAGACACTGTAAGTTCAGTGTGGTAAGTCACTGTGGTCAGTTGTAAGTCAAGACAAGACACCGATCAAACTTGGCATCATGACTTATACTCGACCAAGCAATCAGCCAACTTGTAGGAGGCAAGAAAAGACACAAGTAACTGTTATTAAAATATAGAAAAGTGATGATGCATGTATAGACCCAACACTCTTCTGAATTTGAATGGGCTCATGCTAATGTTTCCAAGAATGCAATGGTTCCCAACTGTGCTTTAATGAAAAGACAAGTAACTGTTATTAAAATATAGAAAAGATGATACATGTATAGACCCTACACTCTTAAGAATTTGAATGGGCACATACTCATATTTCCATTTTAGAATGCCCCAATGGATCCTTTGGCTTGAACTGTGCTTCTCGCTGCCGCTGTCTGAACAGTTCCGAGACATGTGACAAGATCAGTGGACACTGTCAAACTGGATGTGCAGCTGGCTTTACTGGCAGTGGATGTCAGACACGTAGGTGCACTTAGAGCGATGACAAACCGTCTTGATTCACCTTAAAACCAAAGCTTTTACGTGAAAAGTAAAACTATTTACAAGTATTTGTTACAGCCCCGAGCCCCGCCCCACAGAAAGTCCGTAGAGTTACGATCGAAATCAAGACAGCTTAACTGTTTTTTATGACTGATCCACTAATCGCTATTAATTCATTCATACACCTATTTGTCATACATCTATTGTCTTACTATGATTGTTTTGTGGATCGCGTCCTCTTTCTTTCAAGCACCACATCAGTAATCATAGCTAAGAAATTCAATATGCTATATGGGACAAATACCATTATTATATACGAGTATAACATATCTACAATTTTGTTTTATAAAAATCTATGTACATAGATTTAAGTGCGTTTTACAGAATGTTCACAAGGGTGGTTTGGAGTGAATTGCCAAGAATCATGTGGAACGAATTGTAAAAACAATGTATGCGATGGCGAGACGGGCGTCTGTACCGACGGATGCGAAGCTGGATACACCGGAGATAAGTGCGGTGAACGTGAGTACAAAACACATACACAAACACAAACACACACACACACACACACACACACACACACACACATAACAACAAACCCCCAACAACAACCAACAAAACAACCCCCAAAACAAAATCACACAGATTTCATTGCGATTAGATATGATCACATTTAAATAATAGTTTCCTTCATATTCTGGTGTCGGAAGAATATAGTATACTAATATCATATCTGGAGTACTAAAAGTGTGAGGAAATTCCAAATGGATGATGATCCAACTCACGATCATTTGGAATTTTTGTAAATCAGCAGGCATGGTTACGCTATGACAATCCCAATAACGATGATATTCAGGGTAAATCTGGGATCTAAAAACACGACACATAATGATGGTGGTATGTCATGTAACATGACCATGTGCTGTGTGCATCCTTCTTGAAATGTGTGCATGTTCAGTAATAATTAATTAGGTAAAATATTTTTCAGAATGTCGAGAAGATTTCTATGGCGAAAACTGCAGTGAGAAATGCAGTGAGAACTGTACCCCGAGGTCGGCTGGACGAGCCTGCAGACTAAGGAGCGGCACCTGTCGGTCTGGTTGTCAGCCCGGCTGGACAAGCAGTTATTGCAACACAAGTAATTATCTACTTTCGATTTTGTTTTGTATGACTTCTTCGCATGTTTTTCGCTATGTTTTGCCTCTATCGACGTCGTCTTACCCTGTTATGGTTATTGCTTTGGTGATGATACATGTAGGGTATATTTTAGGTTTTAGTTAGCTGAACTGTTGATGAAACTGTTTAATTCAATATCTACTCTATGTTAAAATTTGAACTTGATATAAAACAATCAAATACATATTAAACAGAATCTAGTGGATGCAGCTCTGCGTTGGCGTAAATTAACTATTATGCAGTACCGCTGGGATCAAAGCTTGTGCTGAGCACCTATTATGTAAGCCACTAAACTATATCGTACTATTTGAAACGTATTTTTGTTCATATACATTGTGACAAGTCTTAACGTTTCGGTAAATCATGTAAGAAAATCGGTTACGTAATCTGTAAACGAATTAAATGCACCCAAATATGCACAACCACATATACCCGACATGTATTATTTATGAAATGGACGTTTGTGTTGAATACAGAATGTCGCCCTGGCTGGTACGGATCAGGATGTTACAGCCGATGTAGCTACAGTTGTCTGAATAGTAGCTGTCACCATGTTAATGGAAGCTGTACATTCGGCTGTGTGGCCGGCAGACAAGGGGACACTTGCCAGGATGGTACGTATCATGATGAAGATACGAATGACGGTTGTATGGATGCTGAATTACAGTTTAACTTTACGCCGCTTTTAGCAATATTCCAGCAATATCACGGAAAGGGAAACCAGAACACATTACCCATGTGGGGAATCGAACCCGGATCTCAGGCGTGACGAGCGAACGCTTTAAGCACTAGGCTACCCCGTCGCCTCATACAGTTTGTATCCCCAGTATTAGTGAATATCATAATGTAAATGCGAGACTGATAATTCTCCGGTTTAGATGTTTTTATTGTGTTTGAAGTCGGTCGATGTGTCAGCTGGTGGACTGAGGTTTCTTAGTACCACAATGAGTCAGCTACTTCAAAACTACCGACCCTCCAACTACATCGCAAAATTACATAAATATTTTAAATGTTTCTCTTAATCGTAATCACCACAACATCCACACTTGCAGGTGTATATTCAGAGCCAAAAGTTATTGAGACATGGAATTTTTTCATAAGTAATCTCATGAATGAATTTGTGGATAAGCAAGTGTGGTCTAAAGTCAATGTGCGTACATCCCAGCTGATCCTTAGTTGGCAGTGGCATATAGCACCTACAAACAATTTATAGACATTCAAATCTCACAAATCTATTACATATAGTCAGAAGCATAACTGTGTTTCCCTTTCAGATTGTGCGTTGGGTTTTTATGGCGAATCCTGCAAATTCCCCTGCAGTGTTGGCTGCCGAGACAAACAGAGATGTTATTCCAGAACAGGGAATTGCGAGAATGGCTGTGGACCAGGCTGGCTAGGGGACAAATGTACAGAAAGTAGGCCCTTAAGTATTCTTTAAGAGTATTATACTTTCAGCCGCAATGAAATCTGTGATGGTTTTCCATGCGACACACCATGATGGAATACATATCTAAACATTTACAAGAAATAACACAAATGTAAGAACTGTCTGCGTGTTGAAATGTTTGGCTACAGGTCTCTAAATTAAATGGTTGAATTAAATTTGCGTTATAATGTTTCAGAGTGCCCTAACGGGACCTTTGGTGATCGCTGCAGTTCTCGGTGCAACAGCAACTGCAACAGCGGTGTATGCAACAATGTAAACGGGGAGTGTTCTCAAGGGTGTGTTCCCGGATTCATGGGATCACAGTGCAATGACGGTCGGTGATATTGGTACATTTCAATTTGCTAAGTGAACCGTTTATCAGTTCGTAAAGAACATAGTGCAAAACAAACAAAAAACTGCTGTAATTAACAGTTTTATTCTGAAATTAACTAAGTTCACATCTCACCACAAAGGTATCACTATAAGAGTACAATTTGGAGTGGAAGCACCAATTCAAAGCAGTGTTTACCCTTAACCCTGAAAAGCTGCAGGCCCTAAGCACCCAGAAACATAAAACAACTTGTGGGTCCTGATCAAAATGTGTAGTCCCTATATTGTAATATGGAAATAATTATAGTTATTGGGGATGAAAAGGCTGTCAGACTTAAGGACCTGCAGAAAACAACTGGTTTTCAGTCGGCTTCGGGCTCAAGGACCCCTACCCAAGGGGTAGGTCAGAGAACACACTCCTTACATAGCGACACGCCACTAGGTATCCTTCCAAAACGCACACCTCCCAAAACGCAGACACGTTAATACAACACTTGTTATGGTTGGTTGCACCCTTGATTAGTAGGCTCTAACCTTGATTAAGAAAAATGGTATCACCCATGTAACGAGTTTTGACAATGTAGCAAGTGATCCTTTATTTCATTTCATTTCTTCTCTGGCTCTCTTCTGAACATGCAATAAGCGTGGCACCGACACGTTCCAGCTACCCAAATCTCATAAAGCTAACACACCTACAATGCATTTTAGCTAAATAGATTTGGAAAAATGGAAATGTACTGACTATAAATATTCAGTTCTTTCTCCTGCTCTGTGCACGAGTGTAATATGTTATATGTAACACGAGTGTCTAAGCTGTATTTGTATATCTGCATCTGCTCAGTGTGAAAGACTTAATCGGCTTTTGTTACAAACGCAGATACGGCGTCTGAGTATGTGGGATGGTGGGGTCGCCAAGTGGTTATAGCGTTCGCTCATCATGCCGAAAACCCGGGTTCTATTCCCCACATGGGTACAATGTGTGTCCCCCGTCGTAATATTGATGAGATATTGGTAAAAGCCCCTTAAATGCGTATGTCTTCAGAATGTTCGAATGGAACGTACGGCCCCGGATGTAGGGAGGAATGCAGTGAGGGATGTTTGGATGGCATATGCGGCGGGTCGGACGGGAAATGCCAGTGTTACGACGGCTGGCGGGGAGACAGGTGCCATTTAGGTGGGTGTAGTTGTTAAAAACATGCACCTTACGTAAAAACCAGATTGTACTTTCAATTTACCGTAGAACACATTTCAAAGAACACAGTCGGGATGGTACAACAGATTTTGCCTTTCGCTGAAATGTTTTATGTATATAAATATATCTCTTGCCGTTTTTTTTTGTCTGTCATTCCGCATGATTGTCATATCAATTTTAATTTTTACGTCATATTTAGGGTAAATTTGAAATCTAAATACAGTGTAGCATTATCTAAACTTGACATTATTTTCAGATGACTTATACTGACAAGCAATAATAACGCAACTCAGAATTCATGAAAATTATACTTTTTCAGCATGAGTTTGGATTCGATCAATAGAATACATGTATATTGTTTTGAATTCTTCAATTGCGTTTCCTTTGCTGGTCAGTATAGATTTAACCAATCCAAAGAAAAAATACTTTCTTAAAGACGCTCCTTTTTTAACTCTACTAGTTGTTACTGTGGATATACTATAAGTTGTATGCTTCTCTCGAGGGTAATACGGTCTGATGTACGCCTTTTTGTCGCAGTGTCACACGAGCCGGTAGGCGAGGGATGACACTGCTACAAAGAGGCGTACATCAGACCGTATTACCCGAGGGAGAAGCATACAAAGTATTTATCTTACCGCCATTTTCAATGTACAAACTATCATTTTATTTTATTCTAAAGATCGCTACCGACTATATGACATGTAAACACAATGGCGTCTGCCCCTCGACTGGATTTTTAAATCAGTGAAACATATTCTGACAAGGTTAACACTGCTATAAAATGGTTAATTATGTTTATGTTGAGTGTGCAAACGATTCAATGTATGCAATAGTTTAAATGAAGCAGTGAAAATCGGTAAAATAAATCTGTCTATAGTGAACTCAAAAACAGCTAATCGAACGGTTTTAGAACTCCGGACACTGCATGCGTCATATTATGACGTCACACGATTGTTAGCGATACAGCTTCTCGGCGGAGAGTTTGGCGGTTAGTTGGCGGCGGGTAATATCTTTTTCCAGTTGTCACCCTCCTGGTAGGGGTGACACGGGAACTTGTTAAAGCGTCATTGACCAATGAAATTAAAGTTTTTCACATGAAGGTAAGATAAATGTAATATATTATATCAGTGACTAATACACTTAAGGCAACGATATCTCAATGCCCACAGACTGTGAGCCGGGGTTCTATGGTAGCGCCTGTGCAGTGTCTTGCAGTCCGAACTGTGCAGGGTCAGTGTGTGGCAGGTCGACCGGACTGTGCTCCAGCTGCCAGTCAGGGTGGACAGGAGAAACATGCCAGCAAGGTATCCTTCACTGCAGAAAGCTATGCTTCATTTCAGCGTCCATTAGAGTTACAGAACACTTCTACAATTTGGATTTAATGCATAATTCATATTAAATCTTTCTAGAAAGTATATATTATGTACAGTTCTTAATTAACCAAACAGCCAATTTTGTATGTTTCATTTCAACAAAAATGAAACGCTGATTGATGGGCCCAGACCCTTCCATACTTAAAGGTCAAGTTTATATGCAGCGAAGATGGGTGTACTTGAAAACATTAAGTGGTGGCTCTTTTATACAAATTAGAGTATGGAAATGGAAAGATGAGGGTTACGTGGAAAGTGGTTCTGCATATTCTAGTTTAACGGACAGTAACACTGAATAGAGATTCCAGGTCGGAAAGCGACAGCGTCCTTATATTCAGATAATGAACGTAGAAATAGGCAAAACGAAATTTTACAATAGCCTGTCATTTTGTTCTCTCCATTATATGAATTGTATACTGTACATTGTATATTATTTACAAATGTATATTTGTATATGGGCCGGAGGCCTTAAATACAATACACTATTTTGACTTTGAGTGTGGATGGATAATATTCTAACACATTGGTTTTGACACATACGAAAGGTAAAATGACTGTTTGTGTCGTTAGCCCGCGATGAAGTTACAGCCTTTACTATTAGCAATATGTATTCACAGTGTTATATATTTGTAGTTAACTGCCAATGTCATTAATGCCCTTAACCCGCCAATACGGAATTTACAAGGCTCTTACAGTATCGTACACCCTTTCAAAACACCGTGTAACCAATAATGTCAGTGTAACTACAGTCCGTTTGAGTCAGAAACGGACCGATGAATTGCAAATTTTATCATTGTACAAAATTGCCACATAAATATAAATACGGACTGTAATGATGTTAGCTAATAATGACATTAGAGCCACTAAAAGACGAATTTATTACCCTTAAGATCTCTCTATTTAGCTTATCTTCAACAACCTTCAATCTTCGACAGAATGAAACGCAATACGTTTCGCCATGATTTTTCTGAGCGGTCATAAAGGGAGATCACTCATGACGGCTTCGTTTGTGATACAAAATGATCGAATTTGAGGTTTTGTTAAACGACACGAAATACGGAAGCATTTCATTTTTTATATGTTTATTGACACAAACAAATAAGAAATTATGGCAACAATTTTATTATTCTGTTTATGCTGATAATTGTATACGCCAACCCTAAAATTACGAACCGATAAGCTTTTTGGCAGCCATATTCCATCTAAGGTCAAGGTCATTTGTACAACCAGCGGTGTTCGTACACCCTGGCAAACATTTCGTATGCTTTTGTCCATTGGCCAATAAGAATTCGACAAATTTATCTTAAGTGTAATAAAGTTCTATGTGTTTGCCGTCATGACATTACAGCCTATAACATCAGGGGTATGTATACACAATGCTACACTATTGTGCTTCCAGCTGAGGGTATGGGGATACCTGCTATAGCTGGGATCGCTGTAGCTGCCCTTCTCATCATTCTCCTTGCAGTCATCATCGCGGTCGTTTTAGTCAGGTTCGTTCATGTTTGTTTACACCAAACAATTCCTCAGGGTGCAAAATATTGGAAATGCAAAAGTTTGGGGTTAAAGCTGTATTTGGGTTAACATCAACGTCTCCACTTCGCACTGAAATATATGAGAGATATTTGTTGAAATGTCAGCCTACAAAATGTGTCTATGTTGGTGCTGCCATAAAAGCAACCCGCCAGATATATTCACAGTTTCAGAGGCACTGAATCATATCTATTTTCAGATTTAATTACGTACTTAAAACTGTTACTTTGGATCATTAAAAAAAATTGTCGTAAAGTTTATGATTATCATTATTATTTTTGTAACGTGATTTGTTTTGGTATTTTCATATTTCTTCTATATGTCTTCATATTTCTTGGTACCTAGCACTCATTAATATGTTTTGGTTATTGTAGACGGAAATCTGGACGTAAAGAAGAACAAGGTGTTCGGGATGACAACACTCCCGCCGCCACAAGCCACTCAGTTAAAATGATAACAATCAACAAATCCTCAAATGCGACAACCTCCAAGAAAGGTAAGTTTATTTGACGAATATACAGGGTTTACAATCACGTACATTTCCATCGATGCCGACCTTGGTCAAGATATAGTAAGGCCAGATATAGTACAAATCCATTCATTATCCAGACATTCAAAACATAGGTCAACAATGTCACAGAGTTAACACTTTCAAAGTGATAAGATCATGTACTTCCAATATAGAGAAATAAGCGTTAAGTAACGTTCTGATTACAAATAAAATATCATATGCTTTTAGAAGTCAGAAGAATACCTGTATGTTGGACCACACATATTCAGTACTCAACTGGCTTCCCATGGGCTTCGGGCGGTGGGGTAGCCTAGTGGTCAAAGCGTTGACTTGTCACGCCGAAAACCAGCGTTCGATTCCCCAAATGGGTACAATGTTTGAAGCCCATTTGTAGTGTCCCCGCCGGGATATTGCTGGAATATTGCTAAAAGCGTGGAGTAAAACCCAACTCACTCACTCCGAACTGATAGTTTTTCAAACAAATAGAAGTTTTGTAATAACTAAACATTACCTTTCAAGAGGGGTCATCCCAGATTTCCCTCCTGGGAACAGCAACTGAAAACAACGTGGACGGTGCTGGCGAGGTGTACTACAACATAGCATCTACATCCCGATCAGCTACAGCAGTGTCCTTAGTGGACTTCCCAGAGTACGTCCGAAAGTGGCGGTCACAGAAACAACACCTTTTTGACGAATTTCAGGTAAACAAGAGGTGGCAGAGATTTGTTAATGTCATTAAACGTAGTGAAGCAGTCAAGAACGTGCCTGACATAGTCATGATGTAATTCCATTATTGTTGAGGTGTAATATGTTTTACTTCGTTATATAACGTAAAGAATATAATATTAACATTTATACATTAATACTGTCGCATAGTAAGCTTGATGTTCAGAATGAAATCGTATAAAAATATGTTGTTTGTACATCGTAAATGGACTAAACGGGATCCGACAACACGCTACTAACAAAGGCGTTTATGATGTTATCGGTATCAGTGCTACAACTGTGTACATCCGCGTGCCTGACACGTGTTACACAATCGCTTCCTTTCAGAAACTTCCGAAGGATCTTATCAACGACCACAGTATCGCCTTTGCTGCTCACAACATCAAGAAAAACAGATACAAGAACATATGTGCATGTAAGCTGTGTATACACATGTGTCCATTAATTACATGCAATAAACAATAATGTTTGTCGTATGTACTTTTATAGGCCTGCGTCAGTTTTGTGACTGTTCATATAAAGTCTTTTACTGAGATATATTTTTCACGAAATGTGTGTTATTCAAATCGTGACGTATACAAAGATCGTAAATATAAACCAACACAGAGCTATTTGCCCGATATCAAACGTATTTTGGTCATGCAAATCTTACTTCTATCAATAGTGGGCCTTATTCGAAATAGACTTTGAGAACCACCGAAAAAGGCAGGCATTACAAACACGAATTACACGATATAGGTCTAAAGTGGACTCACTGCAATCATGCTAAGAATCACGTATGTCCTTGTGGTCTATAAAAACGTACTTTACTAAACGATTACTTATCTCGTCATCTGTTCGAATCTCTTATTCACCCAAATCGTGTCTCATTGCTGGCTGGCTTCAAAAGTACTTTGTAACTATTCACGCCCTTGTACCATGTCGCAGCTAATTGACGTTGTAAGACAATACAGTGTTGAGCACAACTGGCCCATTTTGAATCTTTTAGTTATTTTTTCCGTGGGTATTCCGGTGTTAGTCGTACATGCACGAGGCGTCCAAATGGATGGGGAAGTCAGAATGGCTGAGACTCGTTGAATCATGTCTGTGTTGTACTAGAAGGACATGATTCGTTCTTCTCGATATCTATCTCTGGAGTGTCTAGTCCAGTTCAACTAAAGGCACACGCACATACCAGGCCCACTGAAAACAAACATTTTGTTCAGATCTACTAATTCATCTTGTCACGTTGTAACATTTCAGTTGACCACTCGAGGGTAGTTTTGCAGACTGACCCCCAGGACCCCGGGGTTGGGGACTACATCAACGCTTGCTACATCGATGTATGTACTACTTACACACAAAATGATGATTGTAACTGCTGAAAATATATCTATTCCAAAACCGAAACCAACGCCAAGTAGATCCTCTGACATGTTTCGTTCGTATTATCATTGTTAATATGCATATACAAGGCCTATATTGTCAGTACTTAGTGTCAGGACACTGGTCCAGGGGAGGTAACCCTGATAACCGGATGCACAACTGCATGTACACACTGACGCGAGGGAATTTGTTTCAGGTAGATAGAAAGTGAGTGAGTGAGTTAATATTTAACGTCACATCGGCAATATTTCAGTCATATCGTGACGAAAACATATTTGACATTGAAAATGAAACATGTGTATATCATATAAAACTGTCGTCAAAGAACAGTGAAACAACTAGAATATCACAATTAAAACTAGGGAGGAAAGTTAAAAGTAATACACTTTTTGTATCACTATTTGGACAATACAATATAAAAACAGGCTATAGATCGCCAACAACTGAAGATAGATCACCATACTAGGAACCACGGGGACTTACATTACTTATACTACCTGCATGGACCCTAGCTGGATTTACACCATCCTTCAGCCGCTGGCGATGCTAGGAACATTTAGCCGAAATTAAAATCACAAAAATACTACGATTAAAAAGTATGGTTAAGCGAAATTGACTTTGAAAGTGTTTGGGACTTACGTACCCTCTCAGGAGGACAATAATTTTACGATACTTTAACCCGCTTCGAGGATACAGCCACTAACAATCGCAGTTGCTAATTCATACAACCATGATTAAAATACCATTTGTCTATTTACAAAACATATTATTCAAAATTTATGCAATAATTCTATTTCTTTTTTAATTTTTATTAATTGATAATTTACACTATTAAAAAGATCCTTAATTATCTTGACACTAAAATATTTATCCCTTGTGATGGAAAAATAGAAAGCTAATCTATTACACTTCAATTGTCGAACAAATTGCATCAAACATTAAAGCCGAACGGTTGTCAGTTGTTTTCTTATATACATCGCAATTCTAAAGATATCTAGAACTTGTTGTGACTGTAATGACAAGAACAGTACTTGACTTGGTAAAGCAACTCACACACACAACATACATTCTAATTCTAGACCCCAAAGAAGAAGAAAGCATTCATCGCAGCACAAGGTATTTGCTTTATTACGATCTTTACTAAATATAACTGCAGTGCACTTTCTCTTTTTATAAGAATTCTCTGCTTAATACGTCTTCCTGAAGAAACTTTAAAGTTCCTTTTCAGTCCTTTTATGTCACATCTTGCTGGTGTTTTATAAGAGATACTTTCTTCAATCAGGTCCGAACGAACCCATTCTCAACGATTTTGTACGGATGTTGTGGGAGCATGACGTTACGCGAGTTGTCATGCTGACGAATCTATTTGAGGAGGGGAAGGTTGGTAGAAATTGCATTATTTAAATACTTGCAGTTAAGTAAACACAATTTATGATTGATAACGCCTTTAATGTACAGTTATAGCTCAGGAAAACTTCACCCTTAACACAGAAGAAGGTGAGCGACCCAATGGTTAATGACATTCTGCCTTTCTCTGAAGCATTTCGTCGCTTGGCAATAACCAGGATGTAAGATATCGCATCACAGTTTCCTCAATTTGTACCTTGGTATGTGATTAAAATGATCAGTGACGTCAAAAATGTTACGCAACGCTTATACGGAGATTAAGATTGTACACGGCTCAACAAAAAACACATTTTTGCAGCAAAAATGCAACCAGTACTGGCCTGACAAGGGCGATCAGATGTTTGGGAAGGTATCCGTCAGCATTAGAGACACACAACAACATGCTGACTATACCATCCGGAAGTTCGCCTTAAAAAAAGTGAGTATGTTAAGAGACATTATTAATGTACCATACTAATTGCAAAATGTGTGGATTATTGTTTTTGAAGTAGCTGATTTGTGACATGACTTTCGTAAAATAGAAAAAGACCGCAAATAGGAGAAATATACAGGTATAATTGTAATGCATACTCTTGAATTCACAATTGATTGTTTATGTCGCAGAAGTGTTGTACAGATAAATATATCGAACAATTAACAAGTTCGGCAATTGAATGACACACAGTGTCGTATATAATATGTATTGCTGCTTGTGACGAAAACACGATTTAATTGATCAGACAGTGTGTGGGGAACATGTATTTCGTCACACTGACGTTGATTTGTACCTCTTCATCAACCCTTACTTAAAAATCGAAACGTTGTGACTTACACAAATACACTTCAAAGTTTTGAATACTGCATCCCGGGGATTACATATTTGTAGCGGTTTAAAATTAAATTTGCCATTGTGTTGTTATGTTGGTATTTTTTTCGCAAGCCAATGTTGTGAGTCACTAATGATAACCATCTGTATTGTATTCCTATTATTTTAGGACGGATGCAAAGCACGATCAGTGACACAGTACCACTACACGGCGTGGCCAGACAAGGGGGTACCGAGGTCACCTTGGTCCCTCCTCGACTTTCGGGACAAGGTGATGAACTTCCGGACGGCCAGTGATAGTCCTGTCGTCGTCCACTGCAGGTAGATACACCCTCATCTTTCACTTGATGTAACAGATAACCAGTTTTGAGAATATCTGAAAGATCTACTTTTGAGAATTTGATTTAATTTGCCTTATATACCATTTCCTTCTTACTATATACATGTTTGAGGTACGACTTACAACAGCTTGTTTCAGCGCAGGGATAGGACGAACGGGTACATTTATAGCTCTCCAGTATCTGAAGGAGGAGGCGGAACTCAGCGCCTTGCAGGATGTGTACACGTGCGTATGGAACCTCCGACATCAACGTGTCAATATGGTGCAAACCAAGGTGAGATCAAGTTTCCCTAAACACGTGCATTCATTAACTATATACACATAATTATATTTTATACAATTAATTGATAATTATGTAGTTTGTATATATTCGTTAACGCGAAAGTATCTAGGTTCGAATTCATTATTTCGACCATAAATTCAAGCAACAATATATTCGCAGATTACCTGTCGTGTGGTAACAGGCTACGTTTGCGATATTCGAAAGTCCAAAATTAAATATCACCATCTGTGTGTTAGGTTTTCAAGTATTGTACCATATGTTTCTTTTCTGTTTCAGAACCAATACGTCTTCATTCACGAGGCAGCTCTGGTCTCTTTGATATTAACGAAAAGTGTGTTCACAGTGAACGAGTTCCGTCAAAAGTACGACAGTCTTGTCAACGACCAACAACGTTTACAGAAGGAGTTTCAGGTAAAATAGACAGGACGTGTTGCTCGCTGACTTGAAGGGTAAACCTGGATGTAATATTCAACATTATAAGGGCGGCAACACCCTTCATCGAAAATACTTCTGGAATAGTGAGAGTTAAATTTACAGGTATGAATGAACTATTAAATAGTATTTGGATGTGTATCTGTTTCCCCAAAATGTGTCAAAGCAAAGTATTTTCTGATGAAGAATGATGCAAAAATAATACAAAATATCATCAAAAACAGCCGATTGATAGTGGCCCAGTCGTGTAAGGCCCGGTCAAGTCAGGATCTGCTGATATGCTGTTTATGGGTTCGAATCCCATATTTACATCAGTAATGATCATTATGCGCCATCCTTGGTTCCACAAGTTAAAACTGTCTACAGTTACAGTAATGTCAATCCCCAAATAGACATGAAACGCAACGCGATGTTACTGAAATACAAATACTGAATACTGAATGTTACTGACACAGCGTCCAATCTTACCTGTATCTTTCTCTACTGGGTTGTAGACCCTGCAAGGCTACCCGGTCTGTGACACTGAAGGGGAATACAACAGAGCACTGAACAACAGTGAAAAGAACAGATGCGATACGATATTAGCAGGTAGCACAATACTCCTTAAATAACAATTGTTGTACCTGTTTCCTCTTCAGGTAAGACCCGTGAAGATCCTGGTTAGAATTGATCTTCAGTAACCCACGCTTGCCGTAAGAGGCGACTAACGGCATCGGGTGGTCAGGCTCGCTGACTTGGTTGACACATGTCATCGTATCACAGTTGCGTAGATCGATGCTCATGCTCATCACTGGATTGTCTTTTCCAGACTCGATCATTTGCTGACCGCCGCCATTAAGCTGAAATATTGTTGAGTCCGGCGTAAAAATACCGACTGGTTGTAACATCAACAGGAACCGGGGAACCTTCACAAAGAAGGTTAACTTTAATTGTAAGGATACTAAATCACCACTGAAGTTAAGATCAGAGATATGTATTTACGTACTTATATGTATTTCAGGGTTTTATATAAGACTTACATGATGGGTCATTTTTTTTGTATCCCTTGTGTGATTAGGAGATTCGTCTCGAGCAATCCTGATGCCACGCGCAGAATACGACGACATGGGCGGCACGTACATCAACGCCGTCTTCCTACCTGTGAGTACATTTTGTAGATGAAGCATCACGTATATCACAATCATGACTACTAATATGACACTAAATCGATTCTGAGGCAATAAACTGCACAAGCACTAAAACAAACAACAACTAAAACTAAACAAACAAGAGTTTTCAATGAAAATATCAGGCTAGCTATTCTCGAAACGTTCGTTGCCCTAAGAACTTCTTAAGCCCATTCTTAACACATTGGCTACGATCAAAGTCAAGAATTCTTAGGGCTACGAACGTTTCGAGAATAAGGGCCCTGGTTTGCTTCCATGAGTCCCTTTGTCGAAGCAGTTGGCACCTACCCTTAATTTCGGATTCTTTTAAATGACGTAAATTTCAAGTTAAAAACAAATCAAGCTAAATTAAACAAATTAAACATTTTTCGCATCAGCAATACGATGTACAACCGTCGATAAATTATAACCGTTAACTAAAACTGATATTTCGTGTATCTCGATGATGTAACGTTCTGATTCCGATATTGCATGTCGCAAGTTTCGGGTAACTTGGATTCTGTGGGTGTTTGACTGTTTGTCAACGCCAGCAAGGGGCAGGTACTAAAGAATTGTACAACGGATGCTTACGGCAGCTATCACGTTTGGTATTTCGAGGTTTACATTGTGAGGCAGATTGTGTTTAGAAATTATAACCCGGTTGAAAATGGAACCCAAAACTCCTGTCATCTAAATTCGGGTATGAGGTGGCATTTATTTGAACTCAAATATCGGGTATGTTTCAAAGCAGGGCATTCATTACAGTTTCCCAATATGAGATTTTTCAAATACGTCGTCGCGCGGCATCTGTATCTGAATGTCATGACAGAATTTCAAACACCAGTGAATATTACAATGGTGAATCACATTTTGTATGTAAATGACAGGATTTATTATGCATTAATTTTTTTTTTCCACTGACGTCAGGGCTTCGAGAAAACTAAGAAGTTCCTCCAAACCCAAACTCCCCTGACGAACACAGTGTTCGACTTCTGGCGGATGGTGTCCGACTACTTGGTGACAAGGATCATCATGCTAGATGACTACACAGCCAACGATGAGGTAATCACGCCTGAAGCGTAACACAGTAAATAATGTCGACGTGTCAGTTGTGAGATGAACAAATGTGTTTTTTGTGTTGATGTCTTATGATTATGCGTTTATTCAATGTTCATCCAGGTTATATCATGCTCCATGCGAGCTACACAGTTGGGTGTGTGATATAGTTATTGGTGTGTGTTGCAGAGACTGGTGTGTGACACAGTGACTTGTGATATTGTGACCTATGTGTGACACAGTGACCAGTGATATTGTGACCTATGTGTAACACAGTGACTTGTGATAATGTGACATATGTGTGACACAGTGACCTGTGATGTTGTGCCCTATATGTGACACAGTGACCTGTGATATTGTGACCTATATGTGACACATTGACCTATATTTCAGGATGCTGCTGTGTACTGGCCTGATGTACATACGCCACTGGAACTCGGGCCGTTTCAGCTGAAATGTTTAAACACTTCACAAAACAGTGAAATCGTCTTTCGACAGCTGGAACTCAAAGAGGTTGGGTTGTTACTACAATAGATTTATCAACGTTACAATCTTCACAATCCTTCAGTGACAGTAGACATTTACTTCCCCATAGACTGCATATATTTAAAATATTTAGATTCTATATACATGTATTCGTATGTTCATACAGAAATCCGTGTTTCAGGACGATTACGTCACTAAGATTGCTCACTACACCGTCAAGTTCTGGCCCGAGGGAGGCCTGCCTTCAACAGATTCACTGCTGCAATTGATGCAGATGTCGGGAGTCACGACCAACCAAAAAGAAACTCCTATAATCGTACACTGCAGGTAATGATTTAATCATTTATGTCCCATCACATTAAAAATAAAACGACAAAAAATATTGTAACGAGTAAATAACTTCATTATCAACGGTACCTCGGGACATGGTATTTTGGAGAGCGGGATTGGGTACCTGTTAAATTTTTGTACATAAGTTTTGTACATTGAAGTTTGATTTTTGTTGTTGATTTGGTCACATTCATTTACCCAAGGATTGTGAGTTACACATCATATTACTATTTGATAACTATAAAAGAAATATTTTATAGTATGTCACTATGTATACACCCTTGACTGTAGATCCGGAGCCCAGAGAAGCGGACTGTTCTGTGCGGTGGCAACCATGTTAGAACGAGCGCAGGTTGACCTGACTGTTGCTGTTCCCGTCGTTGTTGGAAATAACAAGGCAATCAGGAAACACAATATCACTGATGTGGTAAGTCGGGATATTTCTGCTGAACAGGCTTAAAGTAAATCAGGATGAACTTCCTAAACAGCCTGCAATCACACAAAACCATTCTATTTTGATGAACAAGTGTGCGGTAGTGTGTGACGTAGGTAGTCGTCGGTGTCGACTGTCATGACGCTGTCTAGCTATCATCTTCCAGCCATGCATGTCAACGGATTCAGTTTTAAGGTCGTGATTGTTCATATATTAGTTTAGCAGCCAATTTTTCAGACGTTTCTTCATACTAATGTCAGAACAAAGACATAAATTGTTTGTATCCTTCAATGTAGGTGTTTTTGAGTGAACTTTAGGTCACGACCAGGCTTAATCAAAATACGCCTCTTATGTTAATTTTCTCTGAATACTTTACAACTAGCATCCCCGTGAAGATCCGGGTTAGAATTGATCTTTAGTAACCCATGCTTGTTGTAAAAGGCGACTAACGGGATCGGGTGGTCAGGCTCGCTGACTTAAATTGGTTGACATGTCATCGTATCCCAATTGCGTAGATCGATTCTCATACTGTTGAGTGCGGCGTAAAACTAAACTCTCTCGCTCACTCACTACAACTAGCACATTCGCAATGTTGTTTTTGTTTGAACAAGATCGAATCTAGGTTCAGAGAAGTTCAGCAATGTGGTGTTCCCACCACCTAAAATATACATTGTCATCTGTTTTAAGTCCCAGTACACGCTGTGCTACAAGATTCTTGCTGAACACGTGGCATCAGAAGCAGTCTATTCCAACAACGGTGTAGATGACAGCGCAGATGTTGTCGATGAAGAGGGCGATGCAAATGTATACTCTAACATAGAAGAAGCGATCTACTCCAACCAGTGACGGGACGGAAGCTACTGTTACACGGAACATGTTAGAACCTCAATACCACCTGAAAGTAACAGTAAAATATAAGATATATGTTATATTGGGATTACGCTTTCTTAGTAAAGTTGCATGTCCTTTTGTTGGGTTGAGTCCCATCCGGGATTCGAACCCACACTCTCAGAGTCAGGCACCTAATCGTCAGCACACAAAGCCAGCCGCCTAATCCGCTCTTTATTAAGAAAGTGTAATCCTAAATGTAACATAGGTTATATTTGACCACTATTTAAATAGCATTGTGTTATAACAGTAAAATAGTTCATCTGAGTTGGATCCGTCGCTGTATCACGATGTTATATATCGCTTATATTGTGTGCCACTTGCAATCCGATCTTGTTACAAATGTCATTTGTCGGGAGTGCAATCTACTTATGACATGAATATGTTTCGAAAATTGACATATATTTTTGGCAAGCACCATTGTTGATATATTTTAATTTAAAGAATACTCGATGCTTTGAGCAGATGCGGGTCAACTGGATTTCCATTGTGCTGAACAAACTGCATCAAGAAACCAAAGGTCCGGCTGTGGTTGTTCGTCAAACATAATGTATAAGTTAACGTTTACAGTATTTATGAAATTGTACTCGAGTATAACAAGTGATAATTTTATTATAACATGTTTAATCTAGACATGTCACATTAATGTGATGTTAATAAATTCATGCAGTAGTAGGATCTTAGACAATTAGGGCATCACTTACAACACACTTTCAGGTTTTGCATGAGTATTGTTATGTTTTGGGTGTGAGTTGCATACACACGTCATTTTAACACGTGCAGTGTAGTTCATGAACTCATGTTAGCAGCTGAAACCATTAAGGACCTCTCAAAGAACATTGTTTGTATTAATAGGAAGAATCATCGAGTCACATGTTATATTTGGGATTACACTTTCTCAATACGGTACAAATTCTAGTACGTTTGGGTTGAGTCACACCCGGGATTGGGGCGGAGGGGTAGCCTGATGGTTAAAGTGTTTACTCGTCACGTAGAATACCCGGGTTCGATTCCCCACATGGGTACAATGTGTGCAGCCCATTTCTGATATATTGCTGGAATAGTGCTGAAAGCGGCGTAAAACCACACTCAATCACCGACATCCGGGATTAGTAGCTATACCATGAGTCAGGCACCCAATCACAAGCACACAAAGTCAGCCATCTATCCCACTTTGCCACCTCTCACCCAAACCTAAGCCTAACTTGTGGTATTCTGGACCACGTAGATCGTGTAATGAGTGTAAATCGTCACGTTTCCCTCATCGAGATATTACATTGCACGACGATCTTGTGTATCTGGACATGGTCTCACCTTCCGCTATAGGCTCAGATAATTTGTGATTGTGCCTTGTAAAAGCGGGATTCCTTATTCAAGATTACATCTCACCATATTTACATGAACTGGCCGAGAAAACAAACTGTATTGACTTGAGATGACCTAGTTTAAGGTTTTCGTTATCATGTTGACTGTTGTATTCCTCGAGTCATAATGTCATGACCACGCACCATAGCTTCTCTTTTAATTTCCTTTTAGACTGGTGTTTGGTATTTCTAACGTCACTATGCAATACTGCCGCTGTGATACAAACTTTTAATCGCTCGTCCTCTCTTGTATATAGTATTTGCCGGACACGTGTGTCCTTTATGACATAGTTTGCTTTGCGCCCTCGTCGTCGCTTACACAAAGTACTGTAATACTTTATAATTATCTGTTAACCAATCGTTGCCTGATGTACATGTGATCTACTTTACCCTCACCTTTACACGTCAACATGCCACTCATATCGTTCCTTTCTCAGGATAGTATGTCAAACATTGTTCAATACTTCTGAATGTGTATATATACATATATAGTACATGGCCATGGTGCATGTTTGAGTCTGTTAACGGGAACAAACTGTTCGAGTCAATCTCCGTGTAAAGCTTATTTATGGAATAAATCTTTTTTTTCATATTCACGAGTCTTTCAATTGTTGAATAGTAGACAAGTGTCATTGATAACAGAATGTTGATGTCATGCCCGATTCATGTGGTTGATGTGTCGAAAGACATAAAAAACAACAGTGGTGAAGTTTACATAATTTACTGTTCCTTTTTAAAAAATCAAAGCACCAGAATTAACATAAAACCCTTCTCGAAATCTTACGTGTCGTGCATGTAGTCTGTCTCACACTGTCTGAATCTCATTGTTTTCCCTACTGCCCAGCCCTTCATGCAGTGCTAAAGCCTTAAAGGAAACAAGTCTAGATATCCTCAGGTTCTCCCATCTCACTGGGACTCCTTTTCAATTAAATGGGATTATTTGTTAACTATCAAAACATATATGTATTCAGGGACAAAGCGTTAGTCTATTGGGCGTAGTTATACATGTTTTCCATTTCCATGTGAACCAAAATAAACAGCCACTTCTGTTTTGTATATTCATTCGCTAAAACGAGTAGGTTCCTGTAATTTCTGAAAAGTACTTGAACAGAGTTTCGCAGAATAACTGAACCATTTATTCCGGTAACAACAACAATTTTCTATGAATTGATTGTATCTCTGGTATAACGTGACATTAGCTCTGTCGCATTTGGATCAAGCTGCGTCCGTGAGTCAACGGCGAAAAAGTTACCACTTCCGTTTATCTAATTCGCATACTATTATCATTCGGGTATGACGTATGTGTTTTTATGCTTCATTTAAATGGTAAACTTTTCCATTCGAATGATATCAGCCTATCCATAAGCCATACACCTCGAACACCGTGCATACAATCTTTCTGAATACATGCATTATGCAACGCAATGCTAATTGCCTGTGTCAGGTACGTGAAAAGGACGTAATATAACTACGCAGTATAGGTCTCACTGTAATCACCTGTCTAGCTAAGTCTGGGGTGAAGAGGAGTGTGTTTATTACCGTGGACGTACACGGGCAGGTAGGTAGGATACATGGTGCTTGTAGCAGTATATCAGCAGTATCTCAGCCATATACTGTAGTATTGAATGTGTTTGCTGCCTTAAATAGTGGTCATATTTATCCTGGTTACCTACTAACTATACATGACGCCTAAGCAACGCAGGGCCTCCTCTCACAAAGCACTAAGGTGACCGTTAGTCACTAAGATAATCTTAGTTCGAATGGTTAGAGATAAGTGCTTCCTGGGCCCCTTTCACATATGACCGTTATCGCAATATTAAAGAATGGGAGTTGAGGTTAACCTTAGTAAAGTTTGCTTCGTGAAAGGAGCCCCTGGACTATTGTAATGATGGGTTACAAAACTGATTTAGTGAACATCACTTATTATATCAGTAGCGAAATTTGGAGCTCTCCAAATCCTTACATTCTATCTTGCTAAATGTACTTTTCGGTTCAACCATTCTCGGGGTAGACAACACAAATGCTTTGAGGTAATAGAAATCGTATTCACCTGATACTTTCACAAGTTAACCCTGTAGTCAGATCAATCTTGGCCCGGACACTTAACAACAAAGCAGCATAGATAGTCTTGGAAGTGCCAGTGGTCTTGTCGCATCACTTGTGGATAGTATTGCAATTGTATGCCAATATATATCCCAACGCTTGCTAGCCATCGACCATTATTACACATTTGTGCCATACAACAGTACACTGAATGTTACACAATGTACACCCATTACAACAGTACACTGACTGTGACACAATGTACACCCAATTACAACAGTACACCGACTGTTACACAAGGGCCATCGACCATTATTACACATTTGTGCCATACAACAGTACACTGAATGTTACACAATGTACACCCATTACAACAGTACACTGACTGTGACACAATGTACACCCGATTACAACAGTACACCGACTGTTGGACAATGTACACCCGATTATAACAGTACACTGACTGTTACACTATGTACACCCGATTACAACAATACACTGACTGTTACACAATGTACACCGGATTACTACTGTACACCGACTGTTACACAATGTACACCCGATTACAACAGCACACTGACTGTTACACAATGTACACCAGATTACAACAGTACACCGACTGTTACACAATGCACACCAGATTAAAACAGTACACCGACTGTTACACAATGTCCACCCAATTACAACAATACACCGACTGTTGCACAATGGACACCAGATTACAACAGTACACTTACTGTTACACAATGTACACCCGATTACAACAATACACCGACTGTTGCACAAGGTACACCCGATTACAACAGTACACTGACTGTTACACAATGTACACCAGATTACAACAGTACACCGACTGTTACACAATGTATACCCGATTACAACAGTACACTGACTGTTACACAACGTACACCCGATTACAACAGTACACTGACTGTTGCACAATGTACACCCGATTACAACTGTACACCGACTGTTACACAATGTACACCCGATTACAACAGTACACCGACTGTTGCACAATGTAAACCAGATTATAACAGTACACCGACTGTTACACAATGTACACCCGATTACAACAGTACACCGACTGTTACACAATGTACACCCGATTACAACGATACACTGACTGTTGGAAATGTACACCCGATCACAACAGTACACTGACTGTTGCACAATGTACACCCGATTACAACAATACACCGACTGTTGCACAATGTACATCCGATTACAACAATACACCGACTGTTACACAATGTACACCAGATTACAAAAGTACACCGACTGTTGGACAATGTACACCCGATTATAACAGTACACCGACTGTTACACAATGTACACCCGATTACAACAGTATACCGACTGTTGCACAATGTACATCCGATTACAACAGTACACCGACTGTTGGACAATGTACACCCGATTATAACAGTACACTGACTGTTACACAATGTCCACCCGATTTCAACAGTACACCGACTGTTACACAATTTACACCCGATTACAACAATACACCGACTGTTGCACAATGGACACCCGATTACAACAGTACACTTACTGTTACACAATGTACACCAGATTACAACAATACATCGACTGTTGCACAAGGTACACCCGATTACAACAGTACACTGACTGTTACACAATGTACACCCGATTACAACAGTACACCGACTGTTACACAATGTACACCCGATTACAACAGTACACCGACTGTTACACAATTTACACCCGATTACAACAATACACCGACTGTTGCACAATGGACACCCGATTACAACAGTACACCGACTGTTACACAATTTACACCCGATTACAACAGTACACTGACTGTTACACAATGTACACCCTGTTACTCATGTGAATGGCAAACAATGTCAGAATGACTGTCCTATTTTCCTTGTGACAACTGTATAACATGCATGGCATATCTCAATAACATCAATCCACAACATTGCATGTACGTGGTCAACACGACACAGAGAGACTCAATAGACACGATAATATACATGAATAATATGTATATACAAAAATACGACAGGGAACAAAACGAGTGGCAGTTCAAATCCAAAAGTGAAATTTTAGAGCCAACTTAGTCGCTCATCTGCACTGACTATCCGGTTTATCACTGACAATGATCTGCCACAATCTGTCACAGCATGTTTTCTAATCTCAAACGCTGCATACAATGACTTCATTCTGCCCACAAACAGCCTATTAACATGACCACCCAACCAGCTCATGTCACAGCAACACAAGGGATATTCACAGTTAGGAAAAACATAAAATGGATCTTAACACGGTGTCTTCCCATTCTGCCTACAGTCCCATTCTGCGTACACGTTAACACACCATGATATGGTCCAGTGATCAGGAAGTAAGGTTACTGTGCTGACCTATTCTACCTTTACTGAAATGAACTTGACCAAAAGTTAATTGTAGGCAATCCGGGAAAACATTATAAGAAATAGCGTTTCTAGGTATAAGGTATCTTTATTCTTTCTTTCTATGTCATTCATTGGAAGCGACAAAATGTCAACGGGGAAGTGGGGATGTAGGTAAATTGGGATTGTTTGCAAAATGTGTAGTCAGATAAAACAATGCAATCTGTGAAGCTGGCAAATAAAACAGTGTCTATAACTAAAATGTATTCCAGTGGTATTTCTGTAAGCAAAATTCATGCTATAATGATATTATATAAGTTTCATGTTTAAGTGACCTTCTAAAGAAATATATTAAAGATTATTTGATAGGGATGCCGCCATTGAAAGCTTTCATATATAAGAACGAATCTCATATATTAAACCTTTCACATGCACTAGTTAAAAGAAATGATCTGTTTAAAGAACGTGTTACTTCCTGTGTGTAACAGTATAATGTGTATATACTCCTTTGTATATGGGCATGAGGCCTTTTGTATAATAAACCTTTTTGACTTGACTTTTGACTTTACTATAAGTTAAATTGATCATAATAAGAACTATGATGGTCTCTGTTTAGCTGACTTATCTTTCTCAAAGCGTGTCACTGAATCATTAGCAACAGTAATACAACTGTGCGATAGGTTGGAACACATCTTGAAAGCTAAAGGACCACCGCCTGTTTATTTAAATCCAAAATATCTAGAAGCATCTTCTTACATCTACATTGCCATAAACAACCTAGGATTCAAAGATGGTCCCGCTGACAACTATACATCAAACACATATCTTGACCGTGCAATGTCAGGTTGTAGTATTAAGCGATCCCATAACAAATAAGCAAGTTGAACACATGGAACCGCGTTGTATCAGGTTATTATTCTTGTGATCAAATGATGTGGATTTGTAATGGCTTCTTCTGCACATATGGCGTCATGGGGCCCATCTCGAATCGATATTCTAGACGAAGGTTGTTAACTGATTTTACATGTGATGAGTCCTACAACCAGATGTGTTTTCTATTGCCAGGATGAAGACAAACTGTGACGTATGTGACAAGTCCTTTCCAGACGACAACGCCCTCTACAACCACACACTAAGGGCGTGTAAGACGTGCATGTACTGTACATTTCAGTTCGAAGATGTTGACGAGATCAGGGAACATATGAATGATAAACATAGGCAGATATCTTGTTCCAAATGTCAGAGAGAATTTTTCCACCAAGGAGGTCTGGACACACATATGTACAACCAGCATAATCCGGATGGGATAAAGAGATGTGGTGGCCATCGGAGAAGGGCAGACGACCTCGGCCTAAAAACGATGTGCTAGAGAGATCATCGAAATTCTTCTCTCAAATGAAGAAATACGATTCTGTGGAAAAGTTTCTTGAAGATGTTGTGCAGCCTGACCAAATAGTTCTCGAAACACACAGGGCGGTTATTGATCGTCTCAAGCTGCTTCTGCAGAAAAAGACACAATACAGAGTTTCTGAAGTTTTCAAGGTATATACATGCATAGGAAATAGGAAATTTGAAAGGTTTTCGCAATAAAGGCAAATAATACAACACGTGCAAATTTTACCACTAACGGCAACTGGGGTGTTTACAAATTGATAGACCTGCAAATAACAAAGTCTGGGTCCACTAGCATACCCAAAATGATGACATGCTAATCACACCCAGAACCACACTATCCCCAATCAATTAAAGCCCACTTGCTTGGGATCCCGAATCCCAGAACCGACGATAAGGCGATTATGTCCTAAAATGTTACTATTTTCTGAAATGTTATTGAAGTTGTATACTTGTCTCTATAGATGTATTCACGTTTCTTTCAGGGAGGATCATTTGGCAAAGGAACTACCATCAAAGTTAAATCTGACATTGATATTGTTGTGTTCATCAACGACTACGAAACAGTCTACGAATTAAAGAAGGTTATGAAAAAAATACTGAAAGACCTAAAATATGACATTGAACATGGTGAAGACTGGGGCGTGGCGGCCATGAATCTCAGAAAGACACGTTACAGCATTCAGTTTAGTTGCAAGACGACATGGTAGACGTAGATCTACTTCCTGCAGTTGATGTGCTGGCCGGAGGTATGCCAGGCTCGCTGACTTGGTTGACACACGTCATCGTTTCCCAGTTGCGTAGGGATGTGTCCCTGCTGTTGATCACTGGATTGTCTGGTCAGACTCAATTATGTACAGACCGCCTCCATATAACTGGAATATTGCGGAGTGAGGCGTAAAACTAAACTCACTCACTCAGTGCAAGTCACGCGCAACCCGCATTACATGTTATGTATACAGAATAAGGGTAGGTGAGTACCAAGACATATGGCGAGGTTGAGGTTGGCACCAGGACATTAATTGTTTCATCGAAGAACTTGTTGTGACACATAGATAATGGCAAATATAAGGTCGGATAGTTGACTGAGAGAGACATCTGCCAAATCATGCATCAGTCCCTTAAATGTTTGGCTTGACTCTTAAACATGAAGGCTTCCCAATTCCCCTTTTGAACAGGATTCTGAAGCTGATAAGAATCCGTACAAAAAGAGGGTCAAATGAATGTACACCTGAGCCTCTGTCTCAAAGATGAACAATAATCCTCAATAACGTCGAGGACAGTCTTTCGTTATATTCACAGGCAGTATTAGAGACACACGGAATTGATACCATGTGTATACTAAAAGGTCCAGAGGATTAGTTTTACTTCGTATAATCTCAGAAAAGAGCAATGTTGAATTCCATCAAAATGTTTGATTTTTCTACTTCACTAACCCACATTACAAATCAGGGAAATCTTCTTTCCTTTTTTTACAAAACGAGGTGATACAGTTACAAATCTATCTTCGGAGGTACAATGCAGTTAAATGAAAGTTTAATTAAAAGCCATCTGAATGTCTACGTATGTATAACGTACGCTTCCTCGCTGATAACATCTTTGAAGAATTTTGGGTAGGCATCCCTATTGGCACGAAATGGAACCATGCCGCGACCTGCCTCATTAAACGTATAGACGGAACTTCTGCTCGGATTGGCAAAGTCGAACCATGAGAGCTTGCACAAAAAAATGCAATTTATGCTTCAGGTTTAACAAAATGCCGTGATGTTCATTCTGTACACAGCAAAAAGCCTATTCTCTTCTACCTAGACTAGAACTAAGGGAGACCAAGAGGAACGTGTACTGTTAGTGAGTGAGTGAGTTGAGTTTTACGCCGCACTCAGCAATATTCCAGCCATATGGCGGCGGTCTGTAAATAATCGAGTCTGGACCAGACAATCCAGTGATCAACAGCATGAGCATCGATCTACGCAATTGGGAACCGATGAAATGTGTCAACCAAGTCAGCGAGCCTGACCACCCGATCCCGTTAGTCGCCTTTTACGACAAGCATAGTCGCCTTTTATAGCAAGCATGGGTTGCTGAAGGGCTATTCTACCCCGGACCTTCACGGGTCCGTGTACTGTTAAATTGTTAATATTCCTGGAGTTCAAGTCTGTGGTGTTTATACTTAACGAGTTTTGATGTACAATCGAGCATGCCTTTTTTACCAACACTTGTTTCCACCACTATGTAATAGTGATTCAAAAACACATACTCATGATATAATCACAACCATACAAAAGGACATTGGACCCTGCTTGGGGCAAAGATTTCTATTTATAGGGTTTTGTGGCGTTTATTATCTATAGTGCATGGAAAACACTGAAATTGTTCCTTCATCAGTTGTATTTTATTGTTTCAAGGATCCAAGAAACCAAAGGAAGTATGGAGACAGATGAAACTAGAAGAGTCTTCTGTACGGCCCTACAATTCTGCTAGCTTTGCACCCCAACAGGTCGCCTTTGTGAAAACACGTCCTTCAAGAGTGAAGGACCTAATTCGCCTGGTGAAACACTGGAAGAGAGTAGGTTATGTAATCTTGTAATAAATGTGTGTTCACTGACTATGTACCACGACTCACTGCTGTTGAAGCAAATAACGTAATTTTCCCAAAAGCTGTGAAAGATACGATTTAACCAAGAGTTGTTGAGTGTATTCATGTTTGTCCACATTCTTTTTTGGCAGACTGACCACGTCAATATCAGGTCCTACTGCATTGAGCTCATGGTGATCAACCTCTGGCAGAAATGGGGTAAACCAGAAAGATTTGACATGAAGGACAGGCTACTGGACATCTTTCAGCAACTCTCGTCTATGCGCAAAACAAGTATCACATGGCCTGACGAATATGACATCACAGAGTTTGGGGGAAAACCGTAAGAATCTATACCCTCAAACGACATTTAAAGAGCCATTACACGTCAGAAACCGAATAGGGGAAAATACTATTTAAAACTGAACTCAGGATAGACATTATTATTTAGTTTCAGAGAGGTTATGTGAGTTATTTTGGCTCTATACTGTCTGCGTCTTGAGAATATAAATTTCTATGTAGATAAAATACACTAACAAAAATATCACCAAGAAGCACAATAACATTACTTACATTCGTTTGGCTTATCAAGCATATATATACACAAGCAGGGGTCAATTTCTGGGACAATTAATTCAAACCCCTACCTTATAGTACCATCGACTGTAATGAACTGGATCGACCAAAAAGGGATCAAGCTGAAATGGTAGCAAAGATGTAAAATTAAAGCCTGGGTTTGTTGAAAGTAAACTAATCAGGACTATGTTTAGTGAACATTGAGGGTATTTAGCCTTGTGGCATAAAACGAATGTAAAGAAATTTTCAATGCATAACAGATTTCTTCTATTTGTGAACGTTTATTTGGCATTTGCTATTTTGGGTATGGACACCAACAATATTTGTATAAACATTGACCATTATCTGTTGTTTTTATATGTTGCCCAAGTATGCGCATGCTTAGTATATGTTCATGTTACCTTTCCTATTTTTCATAACCCAAGACGCAGCCCTTACGTCATGGACCCAGCAAACCCATTTATGAACACAGCACCAACTGCTGTTCAGGCGAAGGAAGTTGAAGACAAAGCCCGCATTGTTCACCAATTACTGATGCAGTGATTCAGTCGTCTCCACGAATGACTTCTTGTACTTATGCCCATAAAGGCGAGTTTGTGTTACATAGAGATCCTCGTCATGTGGTTCGCATATAGTTTACACTTTTTATAACCTTTTTCTTCCTTTGTGTTGCTTTGTCACACGTCTTACGATTAAATGAATGCAAAAGCATTATTTCATATGTGCGCATGACGGCACTGTCTGGGTGTCACACAATCTATATAATAGCAAGTTCAAGTTCACAAAAGTCATTATTTGTTTCATTCCCTAACTAGCTATTGTAAAAACACTCAGCTAGTCACACAGTCAACTATTCAAGGTTTTTTTATGATAGGGATATTATTATTTTACGACTGAAAATGAGAAATTATAAAATGGCGATAACTGTTTCAGTTAGTTGCGAGAAAACATCTATTTATACTGCCTTGGTTCCTTAACGTCGCGTTATATACATACACGATCGGCGGCAGTGAACGGGCTTGACATATCGGTGTATAGCTAATTCAGTATCATAATTAATTCTGTTTCATTAGTTTAACAAACGGCGGGGTAATTTTGTAAATACCGCTAAATTGTGGTTATAACTGTTCGGCAGCCAATATACAGTTGACAGTAGACAAAAATCAATACTATGACCGGTTACAAAATGTGCATTGACTATCGGACCAATGTTAATTCGTCTAGCTGGTACATGGTCTCATGCTTATACAACGTTTCAATTGTAGAGTGTTTCAATTGTGTGTGGTAATACTGCATTGATAACATTTACGGTTACATAGAATTTGTGACTGAAACATGTTTGTCAATAATTGTTAGGAATACACCCAGTAGTGTATATGATTTGGTTTGTGTGTTTGTTGTTTAACGCCGCACTCAGCAATAGTCCAGCTATATGGCGGCGATCTGTAAATAATCGAGTCTGGACCAGACAAAGTAGTGATCGACAGCATGAACATCGATCTACGCAATTGGAAGACGATGACATGCGTCAACCAATTTAAGTCAGCGAGCCTGACATCGCCTCTTTTTACATGCATGGGTTGCAGAAGACCAGTGCTAACCCGGATCTTCACAGGTCTAGTTTATATGAAACCAATCATGTTATGCATACATGCATTCATTATTCATACTATTAGTATTTTCAAGCAAACACTGACCCGTGACGATCCATATAGTTGGAATATTGCTAAGTGCGGCGTAAAACTAAACTCACTCACTCACTCAAGCAGTTTCTTTGAATTTTAACAAGCAGTACTATACTCGTTTTATGACTTTGCAAAAACCATAGGACTAACACATTTGATTGCAACTAGGTAATCAACGTGCAGTAATACTTAACTGTCGTGAACAAGCAAAATAAACACAATTTGTTAGCATGTTTGAGTTTGCTCTGTATATGCGGTTGATAGATTTTGTTGCGTTAAAGTAGTGGGGTGCATTTGATATTTGGATATATAGTTGGCGTATATTTGGAAATAAAATATATTACATATTTAGTTCATTTTTTTAATACTTGGTCGACGGCAAGTATGCCCACCGGCTCCTATTATACTGATGAAAGACCATTGATATGCGTGAGCGGGTCTGCTATTATGTGATATTTATCGACCTGACATACAGGTTGAGGAGCAGTGACTCATTAATCTCAATTCCATATACAATGGAGTTGTATTATTCCAAATAAAAGTGGTTTCACAAACATTTACATACAATTTTGTTTCCGCTATTCTTAGTGATTTATGCATTGTTGTAAATGTCACTGTTGAGTGGTATAATTGTCATTGCACTTATATCTGTTTTTTACACAGATTGGCTTAATGTAACGTCTTGCGTAGGTAGTTATCTACAAAAACAGGCATATCCCGTACCTCGTCTGTATCTGCAGATGGGGGTAATATGATCAACAGCCTTGAACAAATATATGTTGAACACATCTGAGTCAATAGTTATGTGAATGCAGATTTTGTTTTCAGTGTTAATTGCAAATTGTTTTTATAATTTTCTTTTCCAAAAGTAGTTTTCTGTCATTTAAATTATATTTCAATTATATTCAAACAAGTTACCAAAAGCAAGAAGTAATTTAAGTGGCCTTTTCATGTAATCAGGTTTCATAAGAGCCTAGCAGAAAGTCTAGAGAGGTGCTTGGGCATTGTGCGGTCATGTGACCCAAAGCATGTGCAGTTCATGCAATCCAGCCACATGGCATAACAGTGGAATGCCTAATGGTGTACAGATGTGTAAATGACAAGAGTGTTGGAACACAAATTAGTTTATTTCATGTATATTTGAGGTTATCTGTCAATTCTGAAGGTGTTTGAGTAATGACTTATTTTGAGTAGTGGAGCATATCTTTGAAGTTGTCAGGGCCTGAAAATGTGTTTAATTGTTAGAATACTCACTTGACTAACTGAAAGGTCATGACTGAATATTGCTTGAAGACTCCAGGAAGTTTGTCTTCATGATATATTAGTTATCACATTAAAGTAGCAAGATGGATCATGTTATACTTATCTGCAATAACAACCTGAATAGAAAAATCTGAAAAATGATGCTAACCAATTGTTTTCGATGATTGATTGGTTGTAATGAAACAATCATCAATTATAAGATTTTAACCAATTCCCAACACTAATTTTGAGTATAGTATTTTATCATGCTTATGGTTATTAAATAGGAATTTGAATTCTAAAGTAATGTTTGCATTTCATTGCAGAAATAATTCTTTTCTCTATTCCTGTTTTCATATGAATTATTATTCAACCAGTGTAACTTCTAACCTAGCAGTAATTATGTCCTAAAGTTATGCTGCTGTAATTAATTAATTTGTTTGAGAAACTGTTTTTATGGTATCTTTGTCAAAGCTTATATAGTAAGGTATCTTTTATTTCTTTTTAAGTTTCTGAACCTCCACATTTAATGAACAATGGTCGGTCAAAGGCTAATGGAAGAGACCAGCTTCAATGTTACCATAATTCATGGATTTGTGGAGTATTGTGCCGACACTTTCTAACCGTCCCTTGACATGTGGACTTCAATGTCGTCAAGGGTATATTGCCAAATTGTCACCAGTAGAACCAAATGACACAACGTTAATAAATGAACATGACGAATATGCTCTAGTGAATAAACTTTGTTAAATGGTGTGAGTTTGTCGGATTTGTAGTTCTTGCATCAACAAGTTACATATGCAGAGCTCTCGACACGATAATCGGTTTACACACAACAAATGGTTGTTTAACATAGGTGAATAAATAACACGTCTTCCTGTAATCATTGAAGACGCTGAAACAAGATTGACAAGGTTTTGTTCAATTGACGTTAAATAAACATGTTGATTGAGCTGATTGTTCTGTGAATATACAACAAATAATTTTCAAAATGTTTTGTGTATTCAAAGCCTTAACCATATCGTCTTGTCAGAGGGGTACACAAAATACGCAAAACAGACATCCCCCCAATAAAATAAAATACCTAAAAATACAAATAAAATGCAAATTAATACAAAACAAATGTGCAAGAATATGTACTTTACACAGAAAGTGTTTCGTAGCTTCAATGCATACATTTTCTTCCAAAGTACACATTTAGCAACATGTACATTAGCAATATGATAGCAATGTTACATATTTATTTTGCGTATGTATATTGCAACTTTATTACTGGATATTTATATAGCGCACATATCCAAGCACTAGTGCATGCTCAAGGCGCTGGTATTTTCCCTCGATCATTGGATGTCAATCTCAACGGTACATCATATTATCAATCTCAACTCCCTGGGAATCATGCAACTCTTGCCACAAGGCGCGCCGAGTTATTGTGGCTTTCCCATCCTTACGAGGTACCCATTCACAGTTGGGTGGACTGGGACACATAGTCATAATACTTTGGCCAAGTGTACTGCACGTTGCTGTACCCGCAACTAGGTGTATTCACGTGGCCACCATCTGGTAATATACCAACGGATTCGTGGGTTCTTTTAAGTGCACAGGGGTGTGAACTGTACACTAGGGGTTGTGACAACACGGAAAGAGTCCAAGGTTTTTACACCCGTTCACATGTGGGCTCGATCCCGGCACCTCATGCTCGTTGGATCAGTAGCCTGGCGCTTTAGCCAGCCCACCACGCCCCAACTGACACAACTAAAACCTAGCTTTACTGAAAACAAATTACAGATCCTGTCCATTGTGACAAAACGTCCCAACATGACAGTAAATTGTTGATATCGAATTGAAAAATAATTCATATATTGGCAATTAGGTGCCTCGCTCTTAGAGTGTGGGTTCGAGTCCCGGAAGGTTCTGGATTGGACTCAACCACAAACAGTACCAGAATATGTAAGTTCAGTGAGAAAGTGTGATACCATATATAACATGTGCATATGGCTACTTTCAAAATGGGACCCGTGAACGCCCGGGTTAGAATTGGCCTTCAGTAACCCATGCTTGTCGTAAGAGGCGACTAACGGGATCGGGTCGTCAGGCTCGCTGGCGTGGTTGACCATGTTATCGGTTCCCAATTGCGCAGATCGATGCTCATACTGTTGATCACTGGATTGCCTGGCCAAGACTCGATTTTCTTCTGACCGCCGCCATATAGCTGGAATATTACTGAGTGCGGCGTAAAACTAAACTCACCCACTCACTTTCTAAATGGCATTGTGCATTCAAGACATTGAGATATGAAAAGTGGTAATCTGCAAAGGCGGAAATCACTAAAGCTGATTCATAGTACACTGTGATAACTGTGATGTGTGTACGCACACACACACACACACACACACACACACACACACACACACACACACACACTGTATATGTAAGGGTATCCTCCCACAAGGCGCGGGAACATGCGGTAGAAGATGAGATAGAGAAATACATCGGACATAACCCCCAGCTGCCTCACCTCACATATGACACTAGTCCTCAGTATAAGGATACAATTTGGATACAATTTGTAAGTGCACCCCATAAATGATGTATGCAGGAGCTCACTCACTCGAGATTATTCAGGAGCGATAACGGGTCGTTTGCTGCGTCTGTGCAGCAGCTACCTTAGGGTAATCCCCGTTCCCATGATCAGCGCGGAAAGCCCAGTCAGCACTAAGTAAACAACTGTACCCATGTCGGTGGAGGGGGACGTGTCTGTAGGCTTAGATATACACTCTGTTACATGAACGATGACACGGACAAAGTAAGTATATACACGTACCTCATATCTATAGTGTATGTATATATGGGTATATGGTGTACATTACTCAGCGACCTCGCCCCTCGAGGCACAAATAACTCTTAGTCGAAACTCTAAGATTTCGCTTTGTGAGGGACGGAGTTTTGATGGCAGCCCAGTAGCTGGAACCGCTGTGATGTGTCGTGGTGTCAGTGGCGACTGAAATGTGTGAGGCGTTTTTTGTATGTTCAACTGCAGCTGGGTGTTGATCTCTGCTACACTGTTGATGCCGAGGCACTAGTGGGTCGATATGTGGATCAAATGTGTACAGTGTCATACTTGCATATTTAGATCAAACGTTCACAGGGTTCACTAAAACACATATGAGCGATTATCTGTGGGGAATCCCCGAAAGTAGTTTCCCAAGTGGACTTCCCATGGACTAAAAATAGAAATATTGCACAATCCACGTGACTAACTGGGACCTGGTTACACTTGAACGAGAGAGATAACTGCGCAGGGTTAATACACACATATTAAAACAGATGTTCTTTGCTATTAAATTAAATATTAATAATGTAATTTTAACAATTACTAATTAGTCCATGGGTGCAAATATTGATGATATTGCAAATGAAAGTGTTTTAACTGCTAAGAGCAAGTATCAGCTTAAGTTACGCGACTGTCTGTATCAAACATAATGACTATGGATAAAACCATATTTATAGGTGTACATGTTATGGTGACGTCGGTTGCTGGAGCCATTGTTTTATGTTCATGTGGAGACATTACATTAGAAATTGTTATAATGAATTATGTTTCATTTTAACAGAACGTTAAGATTAATACCGTATGGCAAAATGCTCGGCAAACAGAGGCTAGGCCCACTTGTAACAAAATATAGTTCTGGTGGGTGGTATGCAAAATCTGACTTTTCTCTAAGTTGTGTCATTCTATGGTATGGGCTTCTATTGAATAAGATGGTGCAATTTGGGACACTTATAAATAATCTTGTAGTAATGCTGTCCATAATGGTGTCACACGTTTCTCTTTAGGCCAAGTATGCACCAAGCAAGTTTATTTATCAGAGACGGATTGGGCGCCTACTGGTGTAAATTAGGGGAGAAGTGTGGCGAGAGGTTACAGACGCTTGTGTCATTTAGTTTGTATTAGAAAAAACAAGAACTTTTGACAACTTTAATGTTATGCTTTAGTGTTTAACATCCATCTCCACACCCCGTTCCAAAAAATATAAATAAATAAACAAACAAAAGAAACAAAAAAAAAAGAAAAAAAAAAAAGAAAAAAAAAAAGAAAGAAAAAACCAAACAAAACAAATCCCCGAAACAAATCAGAACAAACAATAAAGCACCCTCACCCACCCGCCAAATCAAGCAAAAATAAACAACAACAAAGAACAAAAGCAAAGAAAAAAAAAAAAAAAAAAAAAAACTCCAAACAAACAGAAAAACACTGCAAATATCGCAAACGTTCTGATCCCCCACCATGCATGTGTCGTCATGTCGTAACCAAGAGCAATTTGTAACGTGTTCTGTTATCCTAATCTACATACATGTATTGACATACGTGTGATGTCATATGCCTTCATGAGGAAATTAACATGCTGATGATTAATATATTTTGCAGGAGCAGGGGATTATATAGGTGTAAAGAATGCAGCAAAGAATTTCAAAGCGATTTTGCATTATTCCAACATCTTCAGTCAAGAACAAAGCGATGCACGAACACTGCTTGCTTTTACTGCGGGGACGACGAGAACTCTCCAATGTTTAGATTGTCAGATCACATGAAGGAACGACATTCTGTTTTCGAATGTGCATTTTGTCGTGAGAAGTTCTTCTTGAGAGCAAAGTTTGAAGAACACATGAAGAACCGAGAAGGAATAGTGAACGCATGGAGCGGTGATACTTTACCTGGAATGGGCGAGAGGGAATCATTCGACGAATTGATAGACCGCCTGAACCCGGACACAGTTGTTTACGAGGAGTGTGAAAGGATTAAGGAAAAGTTGGAATGGTTCATGCGTCACAACACATCTTACAAGCAATGCCACATCACCATGGTAAGCTTGAGATGGCGCGTTGAAAGTCACGGAAAACCATATTTTGATTCTATTGATGTGCATTTGGTATTATGGTTATATTAATGATATGCTCAGTAGAAGAAATCACCGGGGTGTGATAATCCCCCTTAATCCCTTATTTTGTTCCCTGTGAAATAGTATCCAGGACCAAGTGTGATAAAATATGTTTATGTTTAAGGTGTGGAATCAATCCCAGGTAGTATCTAGCTGAGATCTATTGGTCAATGAAGCAAGGAAGAAATCTGTTTGTTTGTTTTGTAATTTTGGTAACTGTATTAAAAGTTCCTTCTTATTGATCATGAGAGAATTTGAGATTGACTCATTTGACCCGAAACTGTTAATCTCTTTTATTCCACCCATCCCTTGCATTCAGTGAACAGTTATGTGTTTATAATTACAAACTACGCTTACAAGTACGCTGTTTGTAGTTTTGAGTAAATGAGTGAGTATGGTTTTACGCCGCTTTTACCAATATTCTAGTAATATCACGTCGGGGGTGGACCAGAAATGGGCTTCACACATTGTATCCTTGTGGTCAAGCTAACCCAGATCTTCGGCGTGGCGAGCGAATGCTTTTGTAACAAGGCTACCCCACCGCCCCTTGTAATTTAGAGGCTTAACGTAGTGTTTGTAAATGACTCAAGATAATAATGTGAAACACGTGGTTTGGTGCCAATAATCAGACATGTCACGCCAATGTGTGGAACTGACAACACAGATATTCCTGATTTGTATATACTCACAGTTACTGTAAAAGAAGTATATATTACTTCCCAAATATATAAGCACTTTGAATCATCTACCTATTAGGGCTGCGCAATATAACCAGTTTACCGGTATTTACCGGTTCAGACATGAAAACGATACGTATTGCGATACGCTGATCGAAAACCTGTATTTTGACATGCATTCGGAAAACTTCGTAATACTCGCAAATCTTCGGATATTTCCGTTTTCCCTGTCCCTGTGTTGTTTTCCCTGTTTCATTAGTGCCAAATGTTACTTACATTTATATTTTGTCATGATTTAAAGTTTTTATAAAAGGTTAATCAATCATAGTGATTTTGTTGTGTTTTTGCTTTATAATCAAGTATTAACTAGATTATAAGTAGTTTTTGTTAAAAAAATAATCCTTGCAATATATTGCAATACATATTGCAATATATGCTTCGGCATCGCAATACAAGTATATATCGCAATATGAAAATTCTCTGCAATACTCACCCCTACTACCTATTTCTTTTGCATTATCCAGGCAGGATCAATAGCGAAAGAAACACCATTAAGCAAGGCAGATGTCGACCTGATTCTCTTCTTGCATACGTACTCAACATTGGAGGAATTCATAGACAGCAAAAAGGAGATCATAGAACGCATCAAACGTCATGTCGAAAATAGAGACATAAACTGGGCCCACGGGCTTAGGTTTCAAAGGCGCACACCTTACTCGATTCAGTTTGAGCTGAGTGTCAGCGGCAGTAGCACGTTAATGGATGTGGATCTGCTACCTGCTGTGCAACTGTTGCCACGTAACACCTATTCTGAGAGGGGTACACTCTTGCCATTTATGAAATTATATATCCACGAACGCGATTAATACATGGGCTTTCACCATACATAAATTCTCCCTTTGGATACTTAATACGAAGATGATATCGTTTACTAGATGTCAGTCATGACTGTCAAAGCATACTAATTTATGAAATGTACAGATTGTGGGTATCATAAGGTCATTGTTTCATGATTCCAGTGTGTAGGTGCCGCTGTTAATGTTCAGAATGATTGTCTCATTACAGTATTGTACTGACTGGTTTACAAGTGAAATGATATTTGATGTCAAACTGAGCACAATATCCTCCAACCAGTCCCTTATTATAACACGTGGCAAGGAGCAGAGTGTAGGTTAATATGTTTGTTTTTCAGATGCATTATACACAAAAATGAAGTCCATGTCAGTGATGGAGAGGAAGCATTGTGGGCCGTGCCTGTCGGAGCTGCAGGTGCAGTTTGTGAGGAGGGTCCCAGACACGCTGAAGCAAGTCATCAGGATAGTCAAAAACTGGATCAAAATTGTACGCGAGGTACGTACTTTTGAATATATGTTTTGTACGCTATCAATGTTGATAATGAATTATTGATTATTAACAACTAAAGAAACAAACAAACAATAAGTTTTTAAGCTGTTTTAAGAATGTGTGGTTGCTGCCGTTTTAACTGAATGATATCAAATATTTACCGTTGTAGTCATCTGTCTGTGAGGAATAAGGGGTATCATGGTTACAATAGTTTTCCTGTTATTGTAATCTTGAAGAGTTAATCGAGTTAATCTTAATCCAAACTTACATATTCCCATTGAGGACGCTATGATCTGAGAGATGTCACTGAGGGGTCATAGACACATACTCATACCTGTATTCTCGACATTACATAGACACTTTCACAACAGGAGTCAAATGTCAGTAATACATTTGGGTTAAAGGCGTTGATGATTTTGTTTGTAGGAAGAGAGATGTAGAACAGTCCGATGTTATTTCTGTGAGTTAGTGGTCATTGACTATTGGCTTAGCGACGACTCTCCTCACCACGAGATCGATATCGAAGACTACGTCAGACAAGTCTTATATCGGCTCTGTTTCTGCCAGAGTGTTCGGATCTTTTGGCCTGATGAATACGACTTCCTCAAATATAGAGATGAAGAGTAAGTATAGATGCTAAATATGCAGATCCGATGGAATATGGTTTGACATGATGACAAATATCACAATAGAATCTGTTATCTATAACAAACGGGAGAGCGGGATTGTTCATTTTGACAGACATTTTTCATCTTGCACACTTGCTTGTTCAAAGTCCAGCTATGTGGCAGCGATCTGTAAATAATCGAGTCTGGACCAGACAATCCAGTAATCAACATCAAGAGCATCGATCTACGCAACTGGGAACCGATGGCATGTGTCAACCAAGTCAGCGAGCCTGACCACCCAATCCTGTTAGTCGCCTCTTTCGACAAGCATGAGTTGCTGAAGATCAAATCTAACTCGGACCTTGACGGGACAAGGATGAATGAATGAACTTTACTTCTAATGAACTTAACTTTAGTGTTTGTGTTCATGTAAACTTCTATGATAATTTCATGTGCTAACAATCAGAGTGAGTGAGTGACGTCAAACCCATTAAAGTACTTCGTTCGACTTGGTCTACCTGTAATTACATCAGTAATAATTACTTCCGAAATTATTCCCATACTATTTACAATAACATTGTGACGGACCTTAACCTCTATATTCTTCTATATGTACACATTATGAATATACCAACTACACTCTTATGTTAGCATAAGTATACATGGATATATACTTGTATATCAGATAGAGTAAATGCCTTATGCTAAACATTAGTTTTGTGTCTGTATTACAGGAACCAGCCAATGGTACTGGATCCAGCAAATCCCTTTGTAAATGTTGCTCCCAACATGAAAGATGCATCACGAGTGAGTGAGCGCGCTGTGGAGATGTTTGAAAGATATGGCACTGTCAAACATCGGCCCTTGCCTCCTAACCAATACGCATTTCCAAATTTGGCTTATATTGAGAGTCCTGGTGTGACCTTTCCAAATTTGGCTCATACTGAGAGTCCTGCTGCGACCTTGCAAAGACCTGCTGACATGAGAATAGAAATGGGCAATTTCGGGTTTAATGATGTTTCTGCAGGTTGTGTTGTGTTGCCATCGGAGAAAATCCCCGTAGGATCGAGCAAACTTGCCTCGCAACAACCAGGAAACTCCTCATGCTCCAGGAAATGCAAGTGTTTGGCTGTGTTGGTGCTGATACTAGTTGCAATTGGTTTGGGGATCATAATATGGAAGATTAGTGTATAAATCTCTACATTCCATCGGTCAAAGATGAACTGTTGATACCTGATGCTGACTGTTCCGTCTGAGAATTGGAACACAAGTCCGGACATGTATAGAACTATGATGTTGATTTATAACCGGAGTTGTTACTTATCTTAACGTTATATGTTTCCATGGTGATGCCGACATGTCATCAACATGTACTTTATCTGTATTGCAGATCACTGTGCATGTTATATCTCATGACTGGTTAACAAGTATACTACGGTTGTCTTGCTCACAGAGCAACGTTCTGCAAAACACCATATGTTTAGCGGATAGCTAAATTGCGTTGATGTTGTGTTGATGGCTTTTTAAGAACACTTCATACATGTCACAGAGTATCAGCCTGTTGTCAGTGGAAACCAGCGAGAGGCAGGTCGATGAAACTTATAACCTGTCATATCCTATGTTTCTTGAAAAGACAGATTGTCCGGTATTTTACGCCAGAGTTAGTGGATCCTGCAATAGATATTGGAAGAAACTCTGCAAACAAAAGTCCTACGTCATTCCAGGTATAGCGTGTAATGCTTTGTGCCGGCAGATGTCAAATATCGCTCTTATCAGAGCAAGAACAATCATTCATATCAGTACTTCGGAATGTATGGTCAAGTTGTTACTTAAGGAAGAGAATGTTTATGGATGTCAACATCTTTGTTATGAGGAACACCACGTTTCGGAGTATATGCTTATGTGTAGTGTTCCTCATAATAAAGAAATTGACATCCATACAAATCTCTCTTCCTTATATGTATTACTTCTAAATGCCGTTCAAAGACAAGTTCATACTTACATGAAACGTCCTTAACCAGCTTCATATGGGACCAAAATCATTATAGCTTTAGATAACACAGTACTTATGTCAATAAACATTGCTGTCATCCGTAGCGTGGTATGTCATTTATACTTTAACTACTGGCAGGTTGATGATGAATGCCAAATGAGTTGGGAATAAAGCCGTCTTGAACAACAATTCAATTACAGCGTGTCAGATTCGTGGGAAAAAGTGCAGATCCAGTTCTTTTTGTGTGTCTGTGTGTGTGTGAGAGAGATAGATAGAGAGAGAGAGAGAGAGAGAGAGAGAGAGAGAGAGAGAGAGAGAGAGAGAGAGAGAGAGAGAGAGAGAGAGAGAGAGAGAGAGAGAGAGAGAGAGAGAGAGAGAGAGAGAGAGAGAGAGAACCCCAAGGATATGTCTATGGTGCTGTCAGCTCTAGAACCGGATAGGACCTTGGTTTCGAACCTACCACCAGAATATCGTGGGATGCCCGAGGCATGTGATTCTAACATCCTGGCTCTTAGTAACAAGCATCGCGGGAGATAACAACATGGTTGCTTTCAAAGACTGAATAATAAGTAATTATAACAGCAATAAAACTTCTGAAATTGATAATTTTCTTTCTGGGCTTCAATATGGCCAAGCTGTCCTCCCCTGTAATAAACTTGGTCTCATGAAAAAATCAAGTAAATATTGTAGTATCATTGTCATAGCCCCTGATGCAGGACAGCCATTGTCCAAATTATTCCAAAAGCCCCAATCTATGTACCTCCGACATTCATTACGTAATTGCAATTATCTGTATGACGTCTTCGTCTTAATTCTGAGCATGTTCCCGGGTTGACACATGTAAGTGTTGGCATTATTGTGAAATATGTTAAATCCTCCATTTTCTATGTTACCTGCAGGAAATGCCGAACTGTGGGAATTCGTTTGGTACTTCGTGTTAGTAATTTTTGGATTGTTGCCTAACTCCGGTACTCCTTATTATGATCCAATACCAGTGCCCCAAACAGTTCAAAATTAACATTGAGATGTTCGGTAAGATAAATACGTTGTTCACTGGTCCCTCAGGGCTCAAGGGTTGATGTACCCACTATATTTGTTTGTTAATTTCCCCACGCCCTTCGGGACCAGTGAACAACTTATAATGTATTTTATTATCAAATTTTAATCGTTTTGTCTGTCTAATGAAATCATGAACGGATGTCAAAATCTTTTGATTAATGTTTTCGGTTTCTACGGAATTTCCATACAGTATAGAAGGGAGTTTAAATCCCATGGTATAGAAACATTAGTTTGATTTTTATGCTAGGATTTGGGCACATGAATACCTAATGATCAGTGTCCTCGCGTATCGACCACAGAAACAAGAAGGATCTGTGGCATTTATGGCCATTCAAGTCGCTACATCCTTGTCTGGGTCAAGAGTGAAAGATGTGAAACAGTCTCAATCCCTGGTCCAGATCAAGATGTTGTGTATAATCACCGATGTTACTGATAAGTCGTTTTAAAGATACTGTGGGACCAGCATTCGTCAGGTCTGATAGTAAGTTGTTCCATAAGTTGTGGCAGATGCAATTATTATGTTTTTGCAGTTCTGCATTTAATAACTTGTAAGTTGGAACTATTCCTTAACGATTATTTACCAAAAGACCTCGCAATTAATAACCAGAACGTCTGGGTTTTATCAGCAACATACAAAGTACCTATTAATTAATATATGTTTTTGCAACTAATTTTGACCAATGTTGCCTCAAGCCCAACTATATCTAAATGATCCATTTCCTGTACACATAGTATATCTCTAACATGTAACGCCTCCGCCCCCAATTGCCCTATCATTCCTGAAAGTTATGTCGAACCCCGGGATAGAATTAGCATTGTTAAGAATATCATCGTGTCCACACGTTTCATTTAGGGATGTACCATCAGGTGAGTCCAGTTCTGTTATAATTAAGTCAACTTTACATGTATCTTTTAAACTGCGCATATTGAGAGGAACAATCTTAATCTCAGCTGGGCCTGGATTGGGGTGAACATCATCACAGCACAGTAATAGAACAACAATAAGAAAAGATATTTGCATGTTATATAGACAAAGTCTCTGAAGAGCGTATGCAACATGCAAATAGAAACAGTGTAATCATTTATTAGATAATATAGCAATAAGCAGTCCTACCGTCAGCCTATATTGTGTCACATCAACCGGTATCAAATATCAATACAGAACAGATATAAATAAAGCTCGCAGTAGTTAACCAGAAAAAGAACAACTCACCGACACACTCCACCCTTATGAATTCGTACATGTACAATGTTTTCTGCAACGTGCATTTGTACCTCACATGCCATCATTTGTACCTCACATGCCGTCATTTGTTCCCGTCATTTGTACCTCACATGCCGTCATTTGTACCTCACATGCCATCATCTGTACCTCACATGCCGTCATTTGTACCTCGCATGCCGTCATTTGTACCTCGCATGCCGTCATTTATACCTCACATGCCGTCATTTGTACCTCACATGCCGTCATTTGTACCTCACATGCCCTCATTTGTACCTCACATGCCGTCATTTGTACCTCACATGCCGTCATTTGTACCTCACATGCCGTCATTTGTACCTCGCATGCCATCATTTGTACCTCACATGCCATCATTTGTACCTCACATGCCGTCATTTGTACCTCACATGCCGTCATTTGTACCTCGCATGCCGTCATTTGTACCTCGCATGCCGTCATTTGTACCTCACCCATCATTTATGCGCATCATTTATACCTCGCATGCCGTCATTTATACCTCACATGCCGTCATTTGTACCTCACATGCCGTCATTTGTACCTCACATGCCGTCATATATACCTCACATGCCCTCATTTATACCTCGCATGCCGTCATTTGTACCTCACAATCCACCAGGAAAAGAACAACTCACCGACACACTCCACCCTTATGAATTCGTACATGTACAATGTTTTCTGCAATGTGCATTTGTACCTCACATGCCGTCATTTGTACCTCACAACTCACCGACACACTCCACATGTACCTCACATGCCGTTATTTGTACCTCGCATGCCGTCATTTGTACCTTACATGCCGAGTATGTTGGCCTGAGCAAAATATAGTTCCGTGTTCCGATAATTGCGGTTATACGTTGCTCAAGAATATCATCGTGTCCACACGTTTCATTTAGGCATGTACCATCATGTGAGTCCAGTTCTGTTATAATTAAGTCAACTTTACATGTATCTTTTAAACTGCGCATATTGAGAGGAACAATTTTAATCTCAGCTGGGCCTGGATTGGGGTGAACATCACCACAGCACAGTAATAGAACAACAATAAGAAAAGATATTTGCACGTTATATAGACAAAGTCTCTGAAGAGCGTATGCAACATGCAAATAGAAACAGTGTAATCATTTATTAGATAATATAGCAATAAGCAGTCCTACCGTCAGCCTATATTGTGTCACATCAACCGGTATCAAATATCAATACAGAACAGATATAAATAAAGCTGGCAGTAGTCCACCAGAAAAAGAACAACTCACCGACACACTCAACCCTTATGACATGCTGTCATTTGTACCTCGCATGCCGAGTATGTTGGCCTGAGCGAAATAAAGTTCCGTGTTCCGATAATTGCGGTTGCACGTTGCTCAGGTAATCAGATTGTTTATTTGCTAGTTATTTGTTAATCAGTGATCCTTGTCAGACCTGTTATCGGTCTCGACCCCTTATGTTGCCTGACTTTATTTACAGTCATATAATGACAGAAATGTGAATTTTGCCATGTTTTCTACTGTTAACGATATCCTTATTTAATGTCATCCTGATCTCTACAGCTAAGGACCGCCCACGTGGTGTAGCGGTTAGAGCGTCCGCCCGGAGAGCGGAAGGTCGCGGGTTCGATCCCCGTCATACCAAAAGACGTTAAAATATGGTACTTGTTGGTCCCTGCCTGGCGCTCGGCATTAATAGGTACAACAAGGACTGGTCGGCTCGGAGTCTGTATAATGTGTCTGAGTGGGGTATTCATGCTTCACTGCGGCATGGTATCTCAGTGGGCTAGCACTATAAAACCAGCTTGAGTCTGGGCTCGTACAAGTAGCCGCACATACACATACACACGCATGCACGTTGTCATATGAGCGAAATATTCTTAAGCACGACGTTAAACCCAATTTCACCTCACCTCACCTCTAAAGCAAAGCTCCTGTACAATGAGCTTTCATCATGTGTATGTTGTCAACATTGTCATTAGTGCTGACAGATGATGGTCGACCTGTTCTTTGTCAATTTCAAGGCTCTTTTTTTCCCCTCCTGAACTCCAGTGCCGAACAGTGGCAGATATAAGACCATTATGCCCGTACACTGACAGTATGCCCATGTTTCCTGGAGGTACTTGATGACAGCAATCGGCAACAGACAGCTGCCAGCCACGTTCATGCCAACATAACTATTCTGCCTAGTTATGTGTATATTTCAAATGAGCTCATTAACTCTTCCAAGTTAGGATAACTCTCTCTCACCTCAGAAGGTTGTTTCAAGGCTTCTTCAGTACAAAAGGAAAGCATATTCCTGTAAATGTGTTTTAGACAGTGTTTGGTAATTGGTATACATACATGTCGCCAAGTTTATACAAAATAACCGATTGAAATTCATGAATAGTCAAGTCACTAATGATCTGCTTTAATGTGTTTCAAAATAGACCGTTAAGCATACTGCGTATAACAATGCTCCTTCCTTTTGATAATAACAGTGGCGTGTTTTATTGAGCGAGTGCAATACTCACCTCTCCACTGTGTCAGTCAGCAATGAGGAAGTGCACCACACATTCTTCTCACTCACCCTGTGACGATTAGATACCGGTTCACTCAATAGGTCGACCAGATAGGTGTACACAGGACAAGCCTAGGTAATTCCGGGGAAAATGTGAGGCAATGTGCCAAGTTAACTAAACATATGTGAATTTGAACCATACGCACTCACACATGCACGCACACACTCAAACACACACACATACGGAGACACATTGCACACTCACTCACTCACACTCAAACACTGTGATTGTACAGTTACATGAGGCATTTACGTGAAAATAAACCGAGTGTTCTGGGAAATAGGAAACGTAAACGCAAAATGAAATGCTGTCAAAAGTATATCGATATTTGATCGAATCAATTAAAGAATTATATCATTGAAACCACATACGTGAGGGACTTTCGTACCCCCTACGTGCACAATACCGGCTGTAGTACGTGAGGCTACCCTTCAGATCTGAGAAGCACAGTGATGTTGTATACGGCAGTCAAACATATTCCAGCTACAGTACGACAACCAATCATTATTCTCAATCGGAATGTTTGAAATAGGTTACGGAAAGATGAACGTCGATTGGCGCCGTTGGAGTATAGAATCACCCAAGTCACAGAGCCTGAACATCTGCTACCCTTTTATTCGAGGCCTGTGATCACCTAGTACTGGGTACCTATTGCCTCGACGTGTTTGATAATACAACATCCAGTATTAATATCACCATCAACTCGCAATGAGTTCACCAGTGTTGGGGGCGGTGGGGTAGCCTAATGGTTAAAGCGTTGGCTCGTCACGCCGAAGACCCGGGTTCGAATCCCCACATGGGTACAATGTGTGAAGCCCATTTCTGGTGTCCCCCGCCGTGATGTTGCTGGAATATTGCTAAAAGCGGCGTAAAACCAAACTCAGTCAGTCAGTCAGTCGCCAGTGTTGACAGAGTTTATGCTTTGAACAGATATCATGCCAAAGAGTAAGCACATATAACCGCCTGCCAGTTGTGCTTCACTAACAAGTAGTCAGATATTTGTTCCAATATAATAATAAAGCTTAAACCGATAATAAACAATTGTTACAATAAGGTGTTAGTAAGGTTCTGTGGTAACCGGAAGCACGCCTAGAACGGTGGGGATCAATTTGCCACTGGACTGCTATGAGTCCTATACACGATGTCGACTTCAAGTGTCTGCAATAATACAGTTGAGGTTTACGTCAGATATAAAAGTGGTTAAATGCTATAAGCATGACGATAGGTGTGAGAATGCTATAAAGAAATTAACCCCCAACATTTGCGTATTGCACGCAAACTACGCCAGTTGTACTCTGTTCACAATGTTATCTTGACATGACCATAATTGGACCACCACCTAATTTAATCCATATTCTAGGTCTGCCGAGTCTTTTCTATTGAGTGGTTCTATTATGCGTGTGATTCCCGAGAAGTTGGGTTTATATTTAACCGTGACTCGGCACTCGGTATTAGAGGCTATATCACAGGTAAAGGATTTCCCGGTGTTACATTGCACTGGACCCCGGACTGTTAACATCGTGCATGTAAGTGTATACTATTTGTATAAGTAAATATGCTTAGCAAACACTATTTCACTATCATATTGCCGTCTGGTATACGACATTCGCTATCAGATACTTAAAACGCTGCTATTGACACTGGGTTCGATTCCCCACAAGTGTGAAGTGTGTGATGCAGTTTCTGTATCCCTAGCCGTGTTATTGTTGGAATTGTGATGAACGCGGCATAAAACCATACTCATACACTAATTATTGAAACTCAAACTTTACCTCAAACCTATTTGTTTCCAACTTCCTTTAAATTTGAGTTGAGTGCTAACACCGCCGCCATAGTGTTGTATCTTATTTCGTTTCAGTGATCTACAGCAGTACAACAATGGGCTCTCGTACAGCGCCACTGCTATGTGTATTGATAGGTAGGTGTTCTCTTGTGTCAATCGTTTATCCGTCAAAATACATGTATAACTACCACTTCACCGGATAGGGATTTCCATTGTATGGAATTGGGAGAATTGAATAAAAAAGAATTATCTAATCTACAATGATACATATAATTTCTACTACATAAATTTGTAGTAGGGTACAGAGGTCAGAGGTCGTCCGATATGGGGTCACAGGTGATAACTGTAACACGTATTTCTCACTTAGCTCAAGTTCCAAGTCTCCAACTGCCGGAGTGTAAGAATAATGAAAAATGTTGAATGAATTATTTTCTCTAACAAACTTCATAAACATTTCTTTTTAAGTTTCACCTTAGAAAGTCGGAACAGTTAGGAAATATCTCCGAAATGATCAAATGACCATCTTCCCACCCCGAATGTTGACTTGGCTGAACCTAACTACCGTCTCTCCCTGCTTCCCATGCCCGCCAATGTAGCTGTTTAGAGTGCAAGCGCTATCTGCAAGTCGGTGATCTATTAATTGAAATGAGCCTACTGGCACAAGCGAAATCCCTTGAACTATGCCCGGTTTTAGTTGCATACAAGTGCACATTTTGGTGACAGATGATTATGTGACACAGACATAACTCGTGACTCGTGTGTGTTTCATCTACATGTACCTGTGTGTGGTAGATCATAGTTTGATAAGCTGTTGTTCTGATATAGACTGTATACACATTCTTCCTGTTACCGCCAGCCCTCGTTTCATGCATCGATGAATAGGCTGTCGATAGATCGTTATCTTTTTTCAATGTGTCAGTGTGTGAAAAGGCTTAAATAGAAAGAAGTATGAATGGAAAAAGGGTATCTTTTAAATTATCAAAACCACTTATTCTTCACTGTCCTTGTAGAATTCTGCAATATAAATGCAATTCTGAAAATGACTGATAATATGTCGAATACCTACAGTCACTTTCCTCGGTAGTGACACCCGTGAAGGTCAGTGTTAGAATATTGGTAGTGACACCCGTGAAGATCCGGGTTAGAATATTGATCTTCAGTAACCCATGCTTGTCGTAAGAGGCGACAAACGGGATCGGGTGGTCAGGCTCGCTGACTTGGTTAACACATGTTATCGTATCCTAACTGCGTAGATCGATGCTCATTCTGTTGATCACTGGATTGTCTGGTTCAAACTCCATTATTTACAGACCGCCGCCATATAGCTGGATATTGCTGAGTTCGGCGTAAAAATAAACTCACTCACTCTCTCACTCCTCGGTAGTGAAGTGAATACTTCCGTTATGTCGTATACATACCCTTACCGTATATTCACTCCGAGAGACGCGGCTTGGAAAGTGAGATACTATGATGAAATGATGATGTCACTTTGCAAGAGAAGATTTTGTAAAGTTGAGGATGTTGAACCAACTATACGAAAGTTGTCTGAACGTAGTCTCGTAGACATTTGGAGACCACTGTGATGCTTCCATGTTATATTATCAGACATGAATATGGTGGATCGAAATCGAACCGAACTACGACACCGCACATATTTAATGATATCAGCAAGGGAAAGTTAAAAAGCTTATTCTCTTTAAACCAATTATGTTATAGTGTTATATTTTCGACTCTGTATTAATACTCATGTAGAATGCTGCATTAAAAGGGACCGTTCATCATTTATGACTAAGGAGGTGATGAGGATATTGATGGAGAAGTATGTACAATGTGAATGACCGCCCCCACCCCCCAAAAAACCCCCAAAAAACATCAAAACCAAAAAATGGGAAAAAAAGAAGAATGTAAAAAGTAAGCGACCCCCTCTGCATGCCATGTACAAAATCGATGACCCCTTAGTGCATGTGTACAAAATAATGACCCCACTACCTCCCCAGAACAAAATGTCCCCCCCCTCTTAAAATCATTACCCCTCACCCAAACACACACACACGCACACACGCACACACACACACAGACACGCACACACACGCCATTAATTATGAACGGTCCCTAATCCTTATAATTACTGGTAGTTGTAAGATCAACTAACAGAACACAAACTGTAACTACGATTGCATTAGACATTGCGTATAGTTCAATAATAACCTCTCTTTTCCTTTCAGCTGGACTTCTTTGGAATCTGAGCAGAGTAAGTAGTCACTTAATGGAGAATTTGTTTGGTGGTTTTAGCTACTTGTCATACTCACAGCTCCCAGATAATCACATACATCATATACATGTGGGAGACAACTCTTGTACTTTTGATTGATGTTTCCATTCCTGAACAGAGTTATCTCCCATGATCCAGCAGACGACAGCTTTGTTGACATGCCTGATGTAGTTGCATTGGAGAAAAGAAAGGTCATAAGAGGAGAATTTGAGAAAGGGATGTTAACATCATAATACAATCAACTCGTAATTCAAACATTCTGTAGCACTCATTGTTATACGTACGCATGTACTTAAACAATGAGCTGGACTGAATACACCCAAGAATGGATTGCACACAAATTAAAAATAATGGGACAATTGATAAAATGTCGAATACCTCCAGTCTCTTTCCTAGTGAAGTGACAACCAAACGCTTTAACGACCGACACGACAATCATGACAGGCGGGAATACAAACAATACTGGGCGACCTTGACCTTGACTGCGGTATGTACATAGAGACCAATTTCCGAACACATTTATTCATTGATTATGCAGTTCTGTCGATTATCCATGTTTTTCTTCGATTGCTTAACTATTGAAGCTATTAAATATAATTTTAGGGAAAGGTATACCAGCTGCTTGCCTTGGTCAATAGTATCAACGCTTCCATTACCAGTGAAGATTACCAAAAACTGAATACGAACCTGATGGATGTCATCAGTACTAATACTATGTTCCATGCGGCCTACCGCGATGCATCAGATGAGCAGAGAGACCGCGTCATATCTCAAGGGAAGTCATACGGCTTGACAGACGATGAAGCCATGGCCGTGATGATATATACCGACACTTCAGTGAATGGCGAATTCAACATGATTTTAAGAGATGGTATTCGACACAAGTATGATATACCTCAACGAGTCCTTCATTATAATCTCATTAGTGCATTAGAAAAGTTACTAGTGTTACAAATACTCCCTCGTTTTTTGTACAGAGGTGATCCTAATTCCTATCAGTCCTTAAGCCAAGGCGACAAAGTGCAGCTTGCTGGGTTTACTTCAGCCGTTAGTGGCCTGAAAGTAGCCAACAGAGTCCGCAAGAATGGTCACACTTTGTTTGTGTTGAAGGGTGTTGTTTTCGGGGCAGCTATCAAAAAGTTATCTCTTTACCCGCAAGAAGCCGAGATCCTAATTCCTCCATATGAAACCTTTAGAATTACCCGAGTTACCAAAGATGATAGAGGTCCGGTCATTGAACTTACTAGCATTGGAGAGACGTGTGTGAGAAAGATACAAAAGACAGGATGCCAGTGTTGTAGACAATCAGAGGAAGAGATTTTCAGTGTAGCGTCCCAGGACTGGGGAATATTTCTTGTGGGTGTGTTATTGTTAATATTTACCGTATACATTACATGTTGATATCGCTGATGGTGTTACAGGTTGAGCGGCCAGATCATGTTAATTTACACTTGCTTTTACGATGGAAATTATAATTATTTTCCGTCAGCGAGAATCTAAAAAACTAATGTCGAATATATTGATTCAAACATGCAGCACTTTGGTGGAATAAGCCTGCCTTGTTAAAATGCTACATAGCGTTAAAATCTGTAATTATAATAACCAAATCACTGTCTGTTACTACGGTAGATTTCTTCTCGTCGGTCCTGTATGATAAAAGCGGACAAAAACAATCTCCTTGTTGTAAATGGATCTTATGAATTAACCGTTCATGTTACATGCACCAACTGCATATCTTATGCAGACGAATTAATTTATATGATAATGTTTCATACAGACGGGCTTTTGACTTTAATCGCATCCGAAAAAGCGAGTCCGTTTGAGCCCTGCCGCACATGTTTGTGTGTCTATATACATGGTTTTGTCACTGTTATTCCTTTACATGTGCTTTAAATCCTGAAGAGTATCCTAAAAAGGTTTATTATTCAATAAAATATACTTGTGTGATTATTTGTGATACTTTTAGCTTCATAATTTGCTTCTTTCTTGAAATATTAAATACATTAGAAATTTATAATCTTTCCTAGAGGTGATTTATTTATCACAATTTTCCAACAGTGGAATAAAATACGCTGTGATTGTATGTCATGTTAACATATTTTGTTGATATGTTTAGAACAAGATGCATTATGTGAGCGCATACAAATGTACGGTTCTTCAACATGGGCCATCAAATACAGTGAGTGACGATGCTTTTACGCTGCCTTTAGCGATATCACTTCGGGGGACACCAGTGAAAGGGGTCACACATTTAATCATATGGGGAATCGAACTGGGTCTTCGGAGTATCAAGCGAGCGCTTTTACCACAAGGCTACACACCGCCCCTCATGAATTACAGAAAACAGTCCATAATGTTTCAGCTGATTGCAAAACAAGTCCAGGAATATGTCATTCAACACGCCTCCAACGTAAAGAAAGTCAAAGAGTTTGGGTCCATGCCGCTGGGTTTGGGGCAATTACACAGCGGTGTGTCAGCCTGTTGTGGAAGAAAGCCCCGAAGTGATGTAGATTCAAGGTGCTTGCAGCTTTGGTGGAACCAAGTATGGATATGGTGCAGTGCTGACAAACACATAATCGACGAAACAGGGATCGAACATAGATTTCTGGTCTAAGGGACGCAACTCCGCAAACCAAATTACGACGCCTTGGACAAACGGTCCCTCTCATGATAAAGACGATGAATGTCGTCGTGTTGCATTCGGATGCGACCGTAAAATATCCCAAATATATACGTGAAACAACACCAGATCGCTTATGGTGACTGTCGGAATGCACAGTGCATATTGTTAAAGTGTTGGCGAATTATCGGTATTACGATCCTTGCTACCAATTAAAATACTGAACTTTTGTTTGGCTGACACCCTTTTTTTAACGAATGCTAGCCTGTTACAACAACTGTGATACGCTGATGTTGCCTATATGATGGTTAGTGTGGGGTTCGTAAAACATCGATTGAATTGAAACATTGGAATGAAATCAGTTCTGTAACATAATGATCAATTTGGCGACCCCTGCTCCAGCTGTAGCATCGTTCAAATAATAAACCTCACTCACCATAATAATTGTATTGTTAAGTAGTTGCTGGACCAGCTGCAGTAAACCACGGTAATGCCGAACTGAAAGGGACGATTAATGTTAGTTCGTTACACCCGTAGTTGGTTATAAGTATGTCCACAAAATGTATTGCAGTTAGCCGGTAGCGCCCTTCCCTCGACTCCCAACACAAGACAAAAGAAAAACAAACAAAAAAACCCCAACCAACACACAAAAAACCCCACCAGTTCGATATATCCGTCAGTTCGTTAAAAGCGTGTTCGTTATACACGTAATTAACGTACATATCTAATTGATGTGACCGTACGTGGGAACAGTGTGTGAAGGCCATTTCTGAATGAAGAAATGCCCCGACCATAAACACGCGGCGTAAAACAATACTCAATCTAATTGTGCATTTATTGGCTTGCTGATGTTATGCTTCACCAGTGCTTCAGCGTGAACATCCCAATGTCGATCACGTTATGTATGGTAAGGTACGCCGATTCCCTTACTACTCCAGATTAGGTCGAATATTTTGTATAAAACGTCAGTGCAAAGGAATAGCACCCAGTTTTGAGTATCCTCAGAAACAGATTCAATTTGGTATAAACGGCATAATAGCTGTAAAAATCAAATGAAAAGATCACTGAGAATCTGTGATAACACCGGGTGTTTGCAAGATGGATACGTACATTTCTACTCATCATTATATATGATAATTATGTATACAGGGTATACAGGGTATACAGAATACGAGCTACAACAAACAGACGAATTATCTTAATGGTATCCAGGCAGCCAGTTCCTGTCTTATTGCATGCATGGTGTCCTCCATTATCTTTTGACAATCACTCAGTTGTGTGCAGGAAAGGACTCCATCACAGCCAAGTGTAGTTAGATCCTTTCTGGAAACTGGAGTAATTCTACAACAACAACAGAACAATACCAGTATAGGTCTGCTACTGGTCGTGGCGTGTCAACACTAGTGTTGGGAATTGGTTAACATCTCATAATTGATGATTGGTTCATTACAACCGATCAATCATCCAAAATAATTGGTTAGCGTCATTTATGAAATTTGCTAATGCACATAAAAATAAGGAAAAAAACGTAGTTCTTTGGGGGCTTTTTGGCAAAATTTCACATCTTTAAAGGATGACTAGTATGTTAGGAACATAAATTTCTTAGAGCCTTTAAGATAAATTCAATCATGACTTGAAACGAGCTTGTAGTGCTTACAAAATGTAACAGACAAAACCAACCTTGTGAAAAATATTGTTAATGAAAACAAGTGTTCCAAAATTGTTTGTGTTCGATTATGAGAAATTATGATCGATTGCTTGTTCGTTTAGTCACTACAACCAATCTTCGATTATTTCAATTAATCGGACCACCACTAGTCAACACACATGCACCTTGTGACATACACCACCAGCAGGACTTTGGTATGGAGCCGTAAGGTTTTACGCGCTTTCAGCAGTATTCCAGCTATATCACGGCGGGGGACACCGAAAAGGGCTTCACACATTGTACCCAGGTGGGGAATCGAACCTGGGTCTTCGGCGTGACGATCAGACGCTTTAACCACTAGGTTACCCCTCCTCCCTAAAAGTAGAAATAACCATACATGCATATTTCAGGGATAGTGTAACCCACGTAACTCCCTAGGGGCTATCTGAGGAACAGACTGGAGACATATAGAGGAACATATAGAGGAAAATATAGAGACACATGGATGTCAATAGAATTGGATAAGAACACCTGTTGCCATCACGGTTTTTAGTGATGCACCCATGTAAGTTTCATCACTATTTTGCCTTTTGCGCCCAAATAGAATCTGTCCGGCGGATACTCGAGGATATTATCTGCCGTTGACGCTTCATATCTACATGATGGGCTATGATTGTCCGTGTGTTATGTGTGAAACATCGCCAGTGTTTTGAGATAATAGTCTCCACAAGGACGCCCATCACTATAGTCCTTTACTATGGTCCAACACTATGGTCCATCACTATGGTCCATCACTATGGTCCATCACCATGGTCACTATATCAGCAAAATCGCATATTATTAATAATGTATGCCTTTGTACCCTAGAATTGATGTGTTAGATATCCGTCACCAAGATGGAACGTGGCAGGGACTGAAAGTTAGTGCTGAGATATTGAACACTTTATATATCCGTGAATAAGTTTTTTGTGTGTGTAGTTATGAAATCTGATGTGGAAATGAATTTAGGGATAAAACAAATGCACAAAATACATGTCTATTAACAGAAAACGCTGGTGTCTGGACGAATCTCCCTCGCGGATTGCTCATTTGCAGAGATGAAATTATTCCAGCTGTTTTGTTTTCCTGTTGATATGTAAATTGGCGTTTCCGGAGAAAAAGCACATTAGCTATTGGTAACCATTTAGAATATACGAAACTTAATTTAAGTAAAGACCCACACTTCCCAGGGTATGTGATGAAAGTGTTGTCCCGCTGTTTATCAAATGTATAATGTCGATACAAACTTAATAAAACCGATTTCATAAGATATTCCAAGCAACGTTGTCTACTAAATCACCACAGTAATCAATACCTTTATCTTGGTATCTGTCAAATTCAGACGATTTATGGACAAAATAATTCCTGATCCTTGATGGGTGGTCATTAAATTGTCAAAAGTTCATGTTCTGTCGTCTCTTCCACTAAGCGTGATCTAAAGTTTAAAATGTTTTGAATGCTAAATTGATTTCAGCGAGTCTGGATCGTGATTAGATGATTTATAAATGTAATATCGAAATTGTCTGACAGATATGTGCACAATAAGAGAAAACAAAATCGATTTTTATTTCAATGTACATCAGCATAACATTTAATACCAATAGGAAAATGCCATTAAAGTTTCAAATCGTTGAAAAATATTAAGTTCATACCATGGATATACATCATTATATTGAATATACTAGACACATTGTCCATTTGATTTCCTATTTTATATTTATATGTAAGTATAACAAATAATGTTTTGGAGAACTTTTTCTGGCGTTTTCTCAATTCTAAGACAATTCTAAGCTTTGAAACAGATAGATAGATTCATTGGTGGGTTGGCAAACACAGAACAAGAAGGGCAAGAGAACGCAACCTTTATCCGACTAAGTCAATTAAATATGGTTTGTGTAAGAACATGAATCAGTTTTTAACGTTGATGTAAGTTTCCCCGATTCCGTTTTACAATTAATGCAATATTGTGTAACCTGATGTTATATTATATTATGGACTAGCTAGGGTGGGCAAGTCAAACACCTGGTCCCATGGCTCATTTTCAGGGATTCATTCATTTTGCCCTTTACGCCAAATGGAATTGGTGGATGATCGAGGCTTGTTAATCCCTGGCGTTGAGGTTGTGTATTTATACTGGTACAGAATCCCTGGATATACATCCTGAGGAGAATCAGAACGCAGTGATTGCCAGGCTGTCTCTGGGGCTCATATACCCTGGTTATACATCCTGAGGAGAATCAGAACGCAGTGATTGCCAGGCAATGACGCTCATATACCGGATAATTTCGAAAGTTCAAAACAATAATTGACTGCGTTGTCTCATTGAACGAGCATGGTTTAACGCCGCCTCTGGGGAATCGAACCTGGGACTTCGGCGTGACGTGCAAAAACTTTTGGCAATAGTTTACCAAGCCCTAGCCCGGAAAATCAGTAAGTCTCTAACAATATGATCGGTAATCAGTCCATACCCAACAAGGAAATAAGGATATCATAACTTGAGATCGTGAAAACAAGATGTGGATGACGCCCAAGGAGGCTTGGGAAGTACCTCCGTATTTTGTGGATTACGCTATCAAATGTGAGACACGTTGAAATGACTTCCACTCCAGAGGATTTAGAAACACGGTGTCATCTCTTCAACCCATAGCTTAGTCCTGACATGTCAGGTAAACAACGTTTCGCCTGTGGTTGTAACGGGATCAGG